CTTTTTAACAGGATTCATCACAGATGTATAGAAATGCATTTGATTTATGGGTATTAATTTTATATACTGCTACTTTGCTGAATTCATTTATTAATTCTAGAATTTTTCTGGTGGAACTTTTTGGATCCTCTAAGTATAAAATCATATCATCTGCAAATAGTGATTGTTTGAGTTCTTCTTTTCCTGTTTATATCTCTTTAATTTCTTTCATCTTTCTCTGCCTTTGATGTTAGGGCTCAGTTCCTATTCCAGCTTTAGTTTTAGTATACTCTATACCAAAAAGGAAATTAGCATATATTAAGCATTATAATTTTTCCAAGTATTTTTTACATCTGCTATGTATCTCTAAGTAGCAACCAACTTTTGCTACCTAATTGTTTTCTATACAACATTAATAATAATCCTTAGTGTCTAACATTTCAGAAAAGAATTTTTTCAGTTGCTTCAAAAAAAAAGTTTTTCGAAACTTTTAGTTTTACTCACAGAAAACAGATTCTAAAGAATAAAATGGACCCCCCCAAAAAAATGCCTATTAAAAATCTAGTCTGCTATTTTCTAAGAAATAATGATAAAAAAATTTCTAATTATTTATACACAGTACTGAGAATTGAACCCAGTGCCTTACACATGAGAAGCAAGCATTCTACCACCGAACCACAACCCTAGACCTGAATAAAAATTTTTGAAGCACCTTTAACTTTTAGAAGTGAAAGCAATAGCTACGGAAAGATAACTCAAATCATTTACTGAAATTTGCTCTTTTTTTTTTTTTTTTTTTTTTGGTACTGGGGATTTAAACCCAGGGGCACCTAACCATTGAGCTACATCTTCAGCCTTCTTTTTAAAAATATTTTTTATAGAGGAAGTACTTCCAAATTCATTCTACGAGTCCAATATCACCCTGATTCCAAAATAGAAAACTTCAGACTAATATCTCTAATGAATATAGAAAATCCTCAATAAAATTCTGGCAAATTGAATACAAAAACAATATCAAAAAGATTGTGCACCATGATCAAGTAGGATTTATCTCAGGGATTCAAGGTTGGGACAACATACGGAAATCAATAAATGTAATTCATCACATCAATAGACTTAAAGATAAGAACCATATGACCATCTCGATAGACACAGAAAAGCACTTGACAAAATACAGTACCCCTTTATGTTCAAAACACTAGAAAAACTAGGGATAACAGGAACTTATCTCAACATTGTAAAGGCTATCTATGCTAAGCCTCAGGCCAACATCATTCTAAAAGGAGAAAAACTGAAGGAATTCCTTCTAAAATCTGGAACAAGATAGGGATGACTTCCCTCACCACTTCTATAGTTCTTGAAACACTAGCCAGAGCAATTAGACAGACAAAAGAAATTAAAGGAATAACTATAGGAAAGGAAGAACTTAAACTAGCACTATTTGCTGACGATATGATTCTATACCTAGAAGACCCAAAAAACTCCACCAGGAAACTTCTAGAACTAGTAAATGAATCCAGCAAAGTGGCAAGATATAAAATCAAAACCCATAAATCAAAGGCATTTCTGTATATCAGTGACAAATCCTCTGAAAAGGAAATGAGGAAAACTACCCATTCACAGTAATCTCAAAAAATAAAATAAAATACTTGGGAATCAATTTAACAAAAGAAGTGAAAGAGCTATACAATGAAAACTACAAAACCCTAAAGAGAGAAATAGAAGAAGCCCTTAGAAAATGGAAAGATCTACCTTGCTCATGGTTAGACAGAATTAATATTATTAAAATGACCATACTACCAAAAGCACTATACAGATTCAATGCAGTTCCAATCAAAATCCCAATGGCATTCCTCATAGAAATAGAAAAAGCAATCATGAAATTCATCTGGAAAAATAAGAGTCCCAGAATAGCTAAGCAATTCTAAGCAGGAAGAGTGAAACAGGAAGGTGGTATCGCTATATCAGACCTTAAACTATACTACAGAGCAATAGTAACAAAAACAGCATGGTACTGGCACCAAATCAGGCTGGTAGACCAATGGTACAGAATAGAGGACACAGAGACTAACCCACAAAATTACAACTATCTTATATTAGACAAAAGGTTCCAAAAGCATGCACTGGAGAAAGGATAGCATCTTCAACACATGGTGCTGGGAAAACTGGAAATCCATATGCAACAAAATGAAATTGAATTCCCTATCTCTCACCATGCAAAAAAGTTAACTCAAAATGGATCAAGGATCTAGGAATTAAACCAGAGACTCTGTGTGTAGTAGAAGAAAAAGTAAGCCCTAATCTTCATCACATGGGACTAGGCCCCAACTTCCTCAATAAGTCGCCGATAGCACAAGAATTAAACCAAGAATCCACAAATGGGATGGATTCAAACTAAAAAGTTTTTTCTCAGCAAAAGATATAATCTGTGAGGTGAACAGGAAGCCTACATCCTAGGAACAAATTTTTACCCCTCACAATCAGATAGAGCACTAATCTCTAGGGTATATAAAGAACTCAAAAAACTTAACACCAAAAAAACAAACAACCCAATCAATAAATGGACCAAGGACCTGAACAGACACTTCTCATAAAAGGATATACAATCCAATCAACAATATAAGAAAAAATGCTCATCATCTCTAGCAATCAGAGAAATGCAAATCAAAACTACTCTAAGACACCATCTCACTCCAGTAAGAATGGCAGCTATTATGAAGACAAACAACAAGTGCTGGCAAAGATGTGGGGATGTGAAGATATGCAGGTGGGACTGCAAATTAGTGCAGCCAATTTGGAAAGCAGTATGGAGATTCCTTGGAAATATGGAAATGGAACCACCATCTGACCCAGCTATTCCTCTTCTTAGACTATACCCAAAGGACCTAAAAACAGCATATTACAGGGACACAGCCACATCAATGTTTTTAGCAGCATAATTCACAATAGCTAAACTGTGGAGCTAACCTATATGTCCTTCAGTGAATGAATGGATAAAAAAAGATGTGGCATTTATACACAATGGAATTTTCCTCAGCACTAGAAAAGAATAAGATCATGGCATTTGCAGGTAAATGGATGGCATTAGAGAAGATTATGCTAAGTGAAGTTAGCCAATCCCAAAAAATCAAATGCCGAATGTTTTCTCTGATATACGGGGGGTGATTCAAAGTGGGGTACGGAGGGAGAGCATGGGAGGAAGATTACCTCTAGATAGGGAAGAGGGGTGGGAGAGAAAGGGAGGGGGAAGGGGATTAGCAAGGATGGTGGAAGGTGATGGTCATCATTATACAAAATACATGTATGAAGATGTGAATTTGGTGTCAACATACCTTATATACAAACAGAGATATGATAAATTGTGGTATAAAGGTGTACTAAGAATTGTAGTGCAAAAAACGAGAGTCCATGTATAATGGCATAATTTGGCATGAACATACTTTATATACAGAGTTATGAAAAATCATGCTGTGAATGGATAATTATGAATGTAATGCATTCCACTATTGTCATGTATGTAAGAAATAAATAAAAAATATTTTTTATTTAGAGGCAGGGTCTCACTAAGTTGCTGGCTTCAAATTTGCTATCCTCTTGCCTCATCCTCCTTGGCTGCTAAGATTGCAGGCATGTGCCACTGTGCCTGGTGTAAATTCTTTTTAAAAACACAGCACTAGGGTTATAGCTCTTGCCAAGCATGCATAAGGCCCTGCACTCAATCCTCAGTATCACCAAAAAATAATTTTAAGTACGTAAAGTATTATCAGATCAGAGGTTTCAAGACAAAATATTAACTTTTGAGAAACACAGTCTTAAGTGAAGAGGGGACATAGTAGTGCAGATTGTCAAATAATTTATTTTCTAATTTGTTTTCAGTTGTTTTTGGAAGGCCATTTGGTATAATGAAAAGGTCAGGGGCTTTGGAACCAAACTTTAGGCCTGAAACCCTGTTCCATTACTTACATGATTGCTATATGGCCTTAGGCAATCATGTAACCTTCCCCAACCTACTGTTTTCTCTTCCTTAAATTGTGGATATTAATGTTCATCTTACAAAATTTTTAGTATTAAACTAGATATGTAAATATATATGAAGTACCTACCAAGTACTTGCAGTTAGTTTTCCTTCCCTCTGAAAATTACCTTTATTTATTTATTTGTTTGTTTATTTATTTTGGAGTTGTGGGGGATACTGGGAATTAAACCCAGTCTATATGAATTACATCCGCATCCCTTTTTATTTTGAGAAAGCATCTCACTAAATTGTTCAGGGTGATTTCAGGCTTGCAATCCTCCAGCTTCTGCCTCCTAAGCAGCTGGGATTATAGGTGGCATACTGCTATTAATTACCTCTTAAGTATACCCTAATGCTGAAGTCCAGCAAAAACTCCAGGAAGGAATGATTACTTTCCCATACTCAGATTTAGTTACTAGAAAATTCCCTTGAAACTCAGAAAAGTCTTCTTGGGAGTATGCAAGCCAAACAGCAAGCAGCTAGTTGAGAATGTAGTGGGCTGGAGTGAGCAGTAGTGAGAGAATAATTCCATGAGCCACGAATTCAAGATTTGCCCTCATTCTGTGTGTAAAACTAAACTCATATCTCACTTAGTGAAGTTTAAAAAAAAAAAGTCCTCTAAAACCCAGTAAAATAAATTTTAAAGTATCTAGAGTTCTATGTTTAGGTTGTGATATATTTTATTATATGTCCTAATTATAATAAAATATAGTGCCTACTGTGCATGCACATGATACATTTCTAGGTTTCATATATTCTCTATGTAATATCTTTGATTTTTAACTGTTACTAAATGCCCATTTTGATAGATTAAGTAGGTAAACTGAGACCCTAAAAATTTTGATAACAAGCTCAAGTTTGCCAGCTAAAAGTGAGTAGGATGCTGATTGCTAAACCTTTGGAGAAATCCTTTGACAATCTCTCCAGTTGACTGTGGCACCTGTGAACTTCTGAACTGTTACAACTCTTGCAACCACATGGTGATAAATATTGTGTGTTCTTACAGAAACTAGCCCCTGGAGTCAGCCAGTTTGCCTACACCTGTGTGCAGGACCACCCCATTTGGACAAATCAGCAGTTTTGGGAGACAACTTTTTATAATGCAGTGCAAGAACAAGTTCGCTCCCTGTATCTCTCAGCAAAGGAAGACAATCATGCTTTATATCTGAAGCAAAAGGTAAGAGAAAAGAAGGGTACTTATATGAGGCTAGAATTCTGATATTTAAGAATACTTACACAGATATTCCAAAACTAGTCATTTCCTACTACTGTATTTTGGGTTTACTTTAGATACCCTGTGGTATCTTCTTTTTTGTTGATTTTGGCATATTTTTCCATAATAACTTCCCTATAATCATCTTAATCATATTTTAATAAATAAGAATTCTTTGGAAACAATTATAGGAAAGTGAAAAGAAAGAACAAACCTAAAGTTAACTCTATACAACCAACTTGCTTTCTTGAAGAAATGTCAAATAAATTTAATTTATTCTAGGCTTGTGGTCTAGTGACAGAGTGCTTCCCTAGCATTTGCAAAGGTCCTGGGCTTGATCCCAAGCACCACAAAAGAAAGGGAGGAGGTGAGATGGCAGCAAAAAAGAAAATAGTTAATTTATTCTAAAATATATGTAAAATTAAATATGCCAGCAATAAATTTAGGTCTTCTGTTAGGAATATTTTGTATGTTTCTGTATGTCCCAATAGCATATAATTTTTTCAAGAACAAATTAAAAAATTGTTTTTAATTTGAAAAAGTAGTTTAAATAATTTGAAATTTTAAAATTTATTAGCTTTCTGGTATCATACAAGTCATGTTACCTCTGTGTGCCTTATTTTCTCATTCATAAAATTAATAAATATGATTATTGTAAGATTTCAGTATTTAGTACTTGTTAAAACTCATTGAAGAGTACCTGGCACATAGTAAATAATAAGTGGTTTTATTTGTTTATTTATGGTACTAGGGGTCAAATTTAGGACCTCATGCACATGCTAGTCAAACACTGTACCATTGAAATACATCTCCAGCTCTAAAAAATAAGCATTAGAAGTTATCATCCTCATGAATTTGAACTTAAAGCAGCCTAAAAATTAACTAATTATCAATTTTGATTCACTTAAGAGTAATTTTTAGTTCTACTTGCTGGGCAAGTACATCACTGCTGATCCTTTCCATCATTTTTCATTTTAAATTAGCTTTATACATTTTTTTGGTATTTTAACAGACCCTACCAGTAGTATTCAAATATTTCTGTGCCTTTTATTATTTTAAATATAGTATTTGTCAATTATTTAATATAAGAACAAACAGCATTGACATCTGCCTGGTGTGCCACATTGTTCTTCACGACCTATAAGGTGCTATGCAAATGTCAATCACCGTTGTTATCACTTAACTCTTCAGCCAACTAGGAATACCCTCTTAAAAATCCTACTGTTAGGACTAGGATATAGCTGCAGTGCGTGCCTAGCATGCACAAGGCCTTGGGTTCAATCCCCAGCACGCATCACACACACAAAAAAATCGTACTTTCACCTACCAACTCATGTGTATAATAATGTTTGACTCCCACAATTACCAGGAAATCTAGCTATATTTTTTATGACCTTAGTTAATCTATCATCATCTCCCAAAGAGCAGAAAAAGAAACATAATCATACTATTAGCAAATATTATTGGAAGAACTGTGAGTCAAGAATTTATTGTAACTAGTAGCTTAAAAGAAATCAAGTCATAGAGATAAATAAATACAATGAAATTTTAGCAATGAGAAATATCCATCTGTGTTTTGCTTCTGCTGCCTTAAGTCTGTTTCTGTGATTCTAAAGACTAGGTTTTGTTCTGTAGTAATTGTTATGTTTTGTGTTTTTATTTCTGCTGCTATTGATATGTAATAGAAGATGTTTTCTTAATTTTTAGACAGACAATTTTTTTTATTTTTAAATATTTTCTTGATATTTTTGTCAAAAATAATGAATGCTGATAAAATATATAGAAACATATAGAATATTCCTAAGAGAAGACCTAGATTTAAAATATCATTCTGGTTTTTAAAGCTCATGTGAAGTGATGGATGTTCTTCTTTGGCTTGTGTTGCTCTGTTTTCTAGGATAAGCTTCCTGATGACCAATATCAGGAGAAGACCGCAATGGACCTAGCAGCCGAGCAGCTACGCCTTTGGCCAACTCTGAGCAAATCAACTCAGCAGGAGCTAGTGCAACATGAGGAGAGCACTGTCTTTAGTCAGGCCATTCACTTTGCAAACCTCATGGTCAACTTGTTAGTTCCACTGGACACAAGTAAAAACAAGCTCCTGCGAGCATCAGCGCCTGGCGACTGGGAGAGTGGGAGCAACAGTATTGTCACAAACAGGTACTGGAAAGTAAAAACAGAGACCCTCTTTCTGTTTTGGGGGGGCTAAGTCTTGGCTTAGCAGAAAGTATAAAGTATTTTGGACAAATATTATTGTTACTATTTCAAAAAATTAACCATTTTCCCCCATCTTCAGCTCAGCTCAGTAAAGGTATTTCTCTACTGAAATACCTTTACTTCATTCTACTGTTCTTAACCTTCTCCCACATACTCTTCTCTTCCATGATCTAATTTTCCTAAAGTTTTACCCACTACTGATCCAGCCCTTCAGTTAAATTCTGCTAAAGCAATTTATAGAAAGCAATCTGAAAAATTACTAGTAGCTCTTGCTTACCAGAGTGATTATTGGCTTCTCAGTCCTCCTTTACCTCAGCTTATCTGTGGAATATACCTAATTGTGTGCTCCACCATGCCTTCCTCACTACTCTTCAGTGACTTCCCATACCACTGAGAATAAAACCAAAGTCTTTATCATGGCCTGCAGGACCTAACAGGACCCTGATTATAGCTTTGACCTTCTTTCCTATCATTCTTCTGTCAACCAGCCTGCTAATACTTGGTTTACCTACTCATACTAGTCCCAAATGCTCCAAGCATAGTACTACCTTAGGGCCTTTGTACTTTTTATTTCCTCATACTTTCTCTGAAATAGCTACAAGAATCACACTCTTATTTAGGTATTAGATCAAATGTCATCTACCAAGAGACTCTCCTGACTTCCCTATCTCAAGAATCACCTCTAACATTCCTTCTCCACCTTGCTTTTATTATTCTTTCATGATATTTTCTACAACCTGATTTATTTTCTTGTGTTTTCTTATTGCCTATCTCTTGTCTATTATGTTCAATGCTATATATCAGCTTCTTTGCAATATAGTAAATACTCATTAATATTTTGTTGAGCAGATGATTAAATGAATGAATAAGTGAACTAATCAACTAAGCAGTGGTAAAATTCTACCCTTTTTTGATCTTCATTGCTAGATGTTGCAACATCCTGGTGGTTCTTCTAGCTCTCCTAAATTCCTCTTCTCAGGCTCTTTCAGGCAGTTCCTCTTCTCTTTTCATTCTCAATCCTGCCATTGCTTTCACATTCTGTTGGAAAGCTCCCTCACAGAACTAACTCTTTGGCCCTGAATTCTGAATCTTCCTATCCAAATAATTTTTTTTCTTCAAAAACATTTCAGAGGGCTGTGGTTGTGGCTCAGTGCTCACCTAGCACACATAAGGCTCTAGGTTCAATGCTCAGCACCACATAAAAATAAAATAAAGGTATTGTGTCCACCTACAACTAAAATATATATATTTAAAAACACACACACACACACACACACATACACTCACACTCACTTCAGAATTTCTGCTCTCCCAGGCTAGATAGTGTGGATCCAGAATTTATATATACAGTCATCTGCTCAGACCTCTTATTTCATCCTGTAAGGTTCTAGTTCATCCTTTGGTTATTTTATGTGAACAACCTAGCTTAGGCCTTATTACTTCAATTATTATAATAGTCTCTTAGTTGTTTCATTTTTTTCCTTCTTCTCTTTCAGTATTTATCTCATTGTTTCATTCCTCTCTTTCTGTAATTACTACCACAAGAATCTTCCTGAAACGATGCTTCCACATTCCTTTACTGTTCATAATATCACAGATTATTTTACCAATTCTGGACTCACCTGCTTGATTTTTAAGATCTTCCTTAGTGTGTACCAGCTTTATTTCTCAGTGCTATTCAAGTTGATCTCCACTATGACTGTCAATAACTGTATTTTCCTTTTTCTTTGAAGATGTCATTAGATGATCATGATCTTTCAAAGTCTGCATAGTGAGTAGCTAAGGCATCTAAGTTCTTTAATGGCTTGGGATAATGTGATGGCCATATTCTCTGCTAAGCTTTACTTTAATAGTTTTCAACTGATGTGGTTGGTTTTGGAAGAAAGAAGTGAGTAGGTTAGAACAGACAAATGAGTCTTTTCTGTGATTAATAGTCAATTTGTTGAATAATTGGAGATGAACTAATTAACAAGGTCATGGATTGAGCTTTCATATCTGCTTCATTTCAAGTTTGTTCCCCTTTCTTGCATGATTTTTTTACATACAGAAGAATAGTGGTTTCAGAGTGGCCCAGCAGGTTGTGACTCACTCAGAGAAATGCCAGCAAAAGAAAGGGTCATAGGATAGTTTGGTTCTTCCTTATGAAAAAATATGCAAGTTGCTAAAAGAAGTTCTTTTACTCATCCTTCTAGGGTACATGTTCCCCAGTTGCCAGAGATAGCCACATTACTTTGTCTGGTTCTGTGTAGTAATTAACTTAAGAGAACAAGTTATTTTGGAAGATTCAGGCAGTAGATAGTAACTCAGACAGTTCTCTGTTAATTTTTTTTGTGGTTCCTGAGTTCCTTTTTTAGAGAGTCACAGAAGGTATTCCCTACAGAAACAAATCTGGGTCCAAAGGATAATGCTAGACAGTAGTTTCCAAAGGTAGGCAAGTAGAACATCATGTTTTACTACTGTCTTTTATATAGAAGTCATGGAGTTGAATGAACCCCTTCCTACTTCTGGCAAGTTTCAGTTGCTCTGTAAATTAACTTATATAGTTGTCATTTGTTGCATTTGAGTACTGACCATGACATCTGCCTTTGATTTTCCTAGTATTGCAGGAAGTGTAGCTGAGAGCTATGATACAGAGAGCGGGTTTGAAGATTCAGAGAACAATGATATTGCCAACTCTGTTGTACGGTTCATTACTCGATTTATTGACAAGGTTTGTACAGAAAGTGGAGTTACTCAGGATCACATCAAGAGCCTTCATTGCATGATACCAGGTAATCACTTTGCAAATATTAAAAATTAAGAATATTGGAGATAATTGAATTCAGGATATTACCTGTAATACCTGTCTACAAGTAATTTGGCCATGTTATTTATCTTCTGGTTTTTTAATATCTTTAAATTGTGATAACATATATATGAAACATAAAATTTGCACTCTTAACCATTTTTTTAATTTTTTTTTTAGTTGTAGATGAACACAATGCCTTTATTTTGTTTATTTATTTTTATGTGGTACTGAGGATTGAATCCAGTGCCTCACACATGCTAGGCAAATGCTCTACCGCTGAGCCACAGCCCCAGCCTCTTAACCATTTTTAACTATATAATCCAGTGGCATTAATTGTGTTCACAATGTTGTGAAACTATCACCACGATTTCCAAACCTTTTTCATTACCCCAAGTAGACACGACAATAAACAACAACTTTCTGTTTCCCCACTCCCCAGTCCTCTGTAATATCTAATTTACTTTCTATCTCCATGAATTTGTCAATTCTAGATATCTTCTATAAGTGGAATCATACAATATTTCAACCTTTGTGTCTGGCTTATTTCATTTATTTAATGAATTTTGTTCATTTAACATTTTCAAGATTTTTGCATATATCAGAACTTCCATCCCCTTTTAATGGCTACATGATATTCCGTTTATGAATTTGCCAAATTTGTTTACCCATGAATATTCACATACAAGTATAGATACTTGTTTTCAATTCTTTGGAGTATCCACTTTAGAATAGAATTGTGGGGTCACATGGTAGTTCTGTTTAACTTTTGAGGAACCACCAAACTTTGATTAGTTTTAAATTCGAAAATAGCTTTGATTGGTCTTTATTCCACTTGTGCGCTCTTTCATTTTGAATATTCTGACTCATCCTAGGAATTGTAGCTATGCATATTGAGACCCTAGAAGCAGTGCATCGGGAAAGTAGAAGACTTCCACCTATACAGAAGGTAATTATTCCAGACTACATGCCTTCAGAGTGTAGCATCTCTTCTCAAAATCTGCAGCAATAGTTGTGTTCCATAAATTACCTTCTCCAAACCTCTTACAAATGCAATTCTGATGATACATTAACTCTCAGAGGAGTTTGTCATGTAGAACCTTATAAAAAGGATAAAGTCGGAATAGTATCCTTTCTTGGATTCAACAAAAGAACACTAGTAACCTCTTTTGAATCTTTGTAAAGGCACAGAATTATGAATAATCCTAACTTCCAAACCCAACCCAAGATTTTATGCCCTGCCTACTTCTCCCCTACCCGCCTCCCTCCAAAAAAAAAAAAAAGAATTTAAGCAATTATCATAAAAGCAGTCAGTTCCCAAGTCTGGCTGTACATCACAAGCAGCTTGGAAGTCTATTAAAAATTCAGAGTCCTGAACTCAACTCAGCCTCCAGGAATCAGAGTACCCTGGGACATGGCCTGGAAATCTGTATTTTAACAAGCTTCCCAGATGATTATTTTGCAATTAGCTTGATACTAGTCTGAGGACTAGGGTTCAGGACCCTCTTGCCTATGAAACAGAACTATTAAAAATAAATTCAAAGAGAGAGCAGAAGACACATAGGAAAAATAATTGTATCAGAAAATTCAGACACAATACTCATTAATAGTTACATTTACATTTATATTTAGCTTTAAGCCTCCTAGAGCCAGCAAAAAAGCATAGTGTTTGTTTTATATAGTTTTTATCACTTAGTAAAATATAAATGTATTAGACATTTAGGAGAGATTTTTTTTTTCTGTGTTCTGATCTCTTCAGAGGAATGGAACATGTAATTACTCATAAAAAGGGTACTGAATCCAAATTTCTCAAGCCGTATAAATGTTTATTATTTGGCCAAGAATAGGTCTTTTTTAAAACATCCGTGTGTGTGTGTGTATGTATTATTTTTTAAGTTGTAGATGAACACAATAACTTTATTTTATGTGGTGCTGAGGACAGAATCCAGTTCCTCAAATGTGCAAGGCAAGTGCTCTACCACTAAGCCACAACCCCAGCCCCTAAAACATCCATTTTTTAAGTATTTGTTAAGTAATAATGTTCTTCGTATAAAATTTAAATGTGAAAAAAGCATACATTGTTCAAAGTGAAAGTCCCCCAGTCCTCCCTATCCTATTCCTACCTCCACCATTAACCATTAACTACCACCTTTAACAAGTTGGTTCATATTCTTATTTTTTTCTTTTCAAAAATGGGATTATAATATGCCACTGATTTGTAGCTTGCTTTTCTTAGTGTTACAGGGACTAGGAATGTAAATAAGTTGGTTGAGTGCTTGCCTAGAACATGCAAGACTCTAAGTTTATTCCCCAGCACTACAAAAAACAAAAATAATGTATGTATTCTGGTCATCTTTATTTTAATACATAGAGATCTCTGTCATTTCTGTCAAGTAGAAAAATGATCCATTGAATGGATCTGTCAAACATGTGACTTATTTCCCAGTGATTTTACTGTGAACAAGCAATGCTGGAAAGACTTGACAATTGGATACAGAAACTTAACTTCTGCCTCTTCCCAAATCTGTTTTCTCATTTGGCTACCTAGGAAATCTGGTTCAAAGTTTTTAGGTCTATACATAAAAATATAACCTTGGTCTAAGTGTTAGAAAACCCTAAGATTTGTGTTTAAAATACTTTCACTGTTTTTAGCCCAAGATTCTTAGACCTGCTCTACTGCCAGGAGAAGAAATTGTTTGTGAAGGTCTTAGAGTTCTGCTGGATCCTGATGGCAGAGAAGAAGCTACTGGAGGTCTTCTTGGAGGCCCTCAGCTCCTGCCAGCAGAAGGAGCCTTGTTCCTCACCACATACAGAATTCTCTTCAGAGGGACGCCCCATGACCAGCTAGGTATGACTATTGTCAGATCATGTTTTTGTTCATTTGTGTGGTGTTAGGGATTGAATCCAGGGCTTTGCACATGTTAGACAACACTCTACCACTGAGCTACATCCCCAGCCTGCTATCAGAACATGGATGTCTATGTGGCACAGTAGGTTTTCATTCTGTGCAGTGATTGCTGATCATTTCAAATCCAGAATAAGATTTTGGCCATACAGGTATTTTGGGAGGATGCTTTTGTCTGTCATAGTTAATGATAATTTAGGTAATAAATTTTTATTTGAAAAATAAAGGGTATCTTCTAACCAGTAAATCAAGAGTTCATTTGCTGAGGCAATTATAATTGTATGTGGTGAGTATTATGACCTAGAAATATTTACAGTATCTAGATTCTTAATGTGTACACTGCTGATTGGCCCCAGCTTTTTGACTCCTATGGTCAACTATAAAGCTGTGATCGTTTTTGTGGAAAGATGAGCTAAACAACATAGGATGGTCTGGTACTCTCTAATCCACTTTAGTCTTATCCCATTTCAGTTACTCTTGCTTCCCTCTTAGCAGAAAACTTCTCTTCTACTCACGAAACTCTCATAATGTCTATTTCTATTTTCTACTACTCTATATAGCCTTTTCTATTAGAAAGGAATAGGAAGATCTCTCCATAATTAATCTACATTATCTTCTTTAAAATCACTGTAGTCTCTACATAAAATTTCTTATTAATTGGAAAAATGCCTAAGGTTTAGGGCAAAACTTTTAAACTCAAAGTGAGAAAGCTCAGGTCTGGATTGCTTTTGACTAATCTTGATAGCTTAAGTCAGTAACCTAACCTCTCTTGACTTCATTTTTCTCTTTTATAAAATTAGAGAATTGGGGGCTGGGGTGGTGGCTCAGTGGTAGAGCACTTGCCTGGCATGTGTGAGGCCCTGGGTTCAATCCTCAGCATTGCATATAAATAGATAGATAGATAGGTAGGTAGATAAATGTCCATTGACAACTAAAATATATATATTTTAAAAATTAGTGAATTGACTTTTATTGATAATAATTTGGTGGTTCTCAACCTTAGCTGTTTATTTGAAAAAAAAAATTACCAATTTCTAAGACTGGGGATGTAGTACTTGCTCAACATGTGTGAATCCCTGAGTTAAATCCCTAGCATCCCCCCCCAAAAAAAAATATATATATATATACACATACATATATGTGTGTGTGTGTGTATGTGTGTGTGTGTATATATATATATTTGTAGGCCCAACCCTCCAACAATTAAAGAGTAGAAATGGAGAGATTGGTATTTCTTCTGTTAGTTTTTGTTGTTCTTGTTGTTATTGTTTTGGGGTTTTTGTTTGTTTGTTTGTTTGTTTTGTAGTTCTAGAGATTGAACCATGGTCCTTTACCACTCAGCTATATTCCCATACCTTTTTATTTCTTTGGTTTTGAGTCAGAGTCTTGCTAAGTTGCTAAGGCCAGCCTAAAACTTCGAATTGTCCTGAGTAGATAGGATTATAGGCATGTGCCACCACCTGGAATATCTATGTATTTCTTAGTCCTCACAAGTGATTGTGATAAATATTGAGGACTGAGAACCCTTTTGTGTTAAATGGCCACTAAAATTTCTTCTTTATCTGAAATTATTCATTCAGTAGCATTTGATGAGCATGTACTACATATGTACTGTGTATTTTGTTGCAATGAAATTCAGACATAAAAAACGTTGAGTCATTAAAATCTTAATCACCCCTTTAAAGGCTCTGCCTTTATATACAGTCACATTCTGAAGTACTCAGAGTGTCAGAAAATGAATTTTGGAAATACACAGTTCAATTGTATTACTGATTTATCCAACAATACTATAAGAGAGAGTCATTCCTTATTTTACCTCTGAAATGTACCCTTCTTTAAATCTTTACAGTTGCATTATTCCTAAGCTAGATAGAATCAAGATGGTTTAGTATATTGATCATAAAAGATTATTTACCACATAATAAGCAAAAAGCTCATAAGGTTCAAAAAAGATAAGTCTATAGGAATAGTTGTGCTTATTTTGAAAAAGTGAAAAATAAAGCAAAATTTCTTAGCCCTGTTGGCATGTTGCTGTTCATAAATTACATTTAAATGAAAACATATTTTTTTATATATTTTTACTAGTTAATTGATGGACTTTTATTTCATTAATTTATATATGGTGCTGAGAATTGAACCCAGTGCCTCATGAATTCTAGGCAAGCGCTCTACCACTGAGCCACAACCCCAGCCCACAAACATTTTTTAAAAGAAACTAAATATTGAGTACAGATTGAGTATCCTATGTTTAACCTTTGAGTATAAGCTTCATATAAAAGGATAATCAAAGTTTTTCATTTTAAGGATTGACAGATCCAGGAAATGAGAAATTCTGATGATGATAATAAGTTTATGCTTATAAACCCAGAAGTATGGCACACATCTATAATCCCAGTCACTGAGGAAACTGAGGCAGGAAGACTGCAAGTTAAATACCCTATCGCAAAATTTAAAAAGGTCTGGGGATGCAGCTTAGTGGTAAAGTGTACCTAGGGTCAATGCCTAGCGGTAGGGGTTGGGGCCAGGGCAGTGGAGGACATTCAGGTTTTTAAGTCAAATAAACCTAGTTTAAATCTTATCCCTTCTTTCTTTCTATCTATGAGACCTTATTCATTATTCAGTACTGTTCTTAAAACGTTACCTATTCCTGTTCCACTGCTTATAATGCCCTCCTTCTTCCCCTCTACAAATCCAAATTCTACTCTCTATTCAAAGCTCACTTTCACTTCCACTTCTTACAAGAATCATTCTCTGTTTATCTAGCATTCAAAAATCATCTCCTTTTCTGAAATATTTCAATCCTTGAATAGTCGATTCCCTCAAACCTAGGAGCTAATCACACATTATTATATTCTGCATGTGACTTTCCTCCTTTAGGGAAGTAGAAGCTGTCCAAAGAGAATTTGTGAGTGCTACTTCTTTTCTAGGCCCTCATCTTCATAACCTAATAGTTGATATTTTCCTATATTTGCTATAATATTTAAACTCCTAAAACTCTTAGGCTTAAGTCTAATCTATCTTCCAAAGACATATATTCATAATATAGCAGCCTTTGCCACATATTGAAACTTTAAAACCTGTTCTATTTTACTTTATCCTTACAATAAATATCTTGGATGTCTTTTCAATAATTACAGATATTTAAAACTAACTTATCTTGTGTAACACATAGTACATGGGGGAGATAGAAAGAATGAGCGCAGACAGGTTATGAAGGTTTTCCTCATTCTGGGAAAGGTATATGTCTCAGGAGTGAATTACCATGCAATAAAATTTAGTGATATTCTCAAATCATGTCATTTTCTCTTACTGCATTTCTGTACATTGTGCTCTGCAGAGACTCTAGACATGAACTATAAAGTGCTATTGCTGAGTCTGTGTCCTATCATCCTACAGTTGGTGAACAAACAGTTGTACGGAGCTTTCCCATTGCCTCTATCACTAAGGAGAAGAAGATAACAATGCAGAACCAGCTACAGCAGAACATGCAAGAAGGACTACAGATTACATCAGCATCTTTTCAGGTATAGTTCATACTCCTTGTCTGAAATGCTTGGAACAAGATGTGTTTCAGATTCTGAAAGGTTTTAGATTTGAGGATATTGGCATGGCCTTTACCAATTGAGCATCCCTAATTCAAAAATATAAAATCTAAATCATTCTGAAATTGAAAACTTTTTGAGCATTGAAGTTTCAAATTTTGGAGTGGTTCAATTTCTTATTTATGGTTTAGTTATGCTCAACCTATATTAAGAAAAGAAACCATTTTTCTAGTATTTAAAAATTTTTTCTGAGTGGGCATGTTGGCACATGCTTGAAATCCCAGCAGCTCAGGAGGCTGAAGCAGGAGAATAGCAAGTTCAAAGCCAGCTTCAGCAACTAAGCAAGGCCCTAAGCAACTTAGCAGACCCTGTCTCAAAATTTTAAAAAGGGCTATGGATGTGGTCAGTGGTTTAAATGCCCCTGGGCTCAATCCCTGGTACAAATATATATATATCAACCTAGTGATATTGTAGCTACTTTCTGTGGTCGTGGAGTCAGAATGTCTGGGAAAGTAATCTTCAGATGACTAAACTCATGAATAGTTTCATCCTTCAATTCATGAGTCCCTGGCCAGCCTAGATTATCAACAGATTATCAAATTTTAGTGTTCTTTGAAACTCAGACACATGAGGGCTCTTTTTCTCTGACAAGTTATATCTTAATTCTTTAGATAAAAATCAATTCCTCTAGCATCTGTTTCAGAAAGAAATGCCCTATGACTGGCTCTTCTATGGAAGAGGTAAAACTCTTGAGAAGTATAACTTGGGCTAATGTACTGTTGGTACTAACTGTGTAATCCCTGATAAAGCAAGGGTTTTTTCCAGGGGACTCTGAACATACCAAAACATAGAACTACTGATACAAACCAATTCCTAGAAGAAGCAATCTTTTCTTAGTTTTTCTTTTTTTTTCAAAGTTCACAATCTATATATCTTTTGTTTTTCCTGTTCTTCCTGCCTTGTCTCTGACTACGCAGATTTCCAATGATTCCAATTCTTACCTCATTTCTTCTAGACAAGGAACCCTCCCCCATACCCTCTATGCTCATCTCATGAACTGTGAAGCTGTTGATATTGAGACTCCAGACCTTCTTACATCGTCAAGAGTACTGACTATCCCAGCTGCCAAAGAACACTATACTCAAATAATGCCTGTCTATTCTGGTTAAGATTATAGTCAAACTGATTTTTTTCCCCTAGATTTGATGTATCCCTAGGTACAAAGGGACATTATTAGGTCAAATTCCCTATCTAGAACCAGCAGTTAAAAAATAAAAAGGACATGCTTGCTACTTCAGACATTACAAGTTTATTCCTCATCCCATGGTAGAAAAGATAGTCTTAAAGAAACCCAACTTCAAAACTCTAATTTTCCTTGCCAGTTAACCATACATGACAAGGTAACTTTTCTGGGCCTTTTTTCACTTTCAAAATTAAAAGCCTGTATTGTACATTATCAAGAGTTCCTACAATCTCCAAAGTCTTGCCATTTAGTTTTGTTATTTTTTTTCTGTATGTTTTGTTTGTTTTGTTTTAGTAATTTGGGGGGATAGTTGTCTGGAAATAGTGCTTCTGATATGTTTAATCTCTTTTGTCTCTAGTTGATTAAAGTAGCATTTGATGAAGAAGTCAGTCCGGAAGTAGTAGAGATCTTTAAGAAACAACTAATGAAGTTCCGTTATCCTCAGTCCATCTTTAGCACCTTTGCTTTCGCTGCTGGACAAACTACCCCACAAATAATTTTACCCAAACAGAAGGAAAAGAACACTTCCTTTCGGTAAGAAGAAAGATTGGCCTCTTAATTTCAACCCTCCGTAATTGATTGTCAGAGGAAGTATTTTATGTCCAGGAGTAAAATGATTGCTCTTTTTAATTTCTGTCAAGACCATTGGGCCAAGCTCAAGAAACTATGGAACAACAGCATACCTGATATGGGTAACAGGTTTGAAAATCTTAAAAACTATAAGAGGCTTTGACATCCATTGCTCATGATGCATTTTTATGACATGAAATTCTGTTTTCTCTTTTTTTCATATTAATCTTTAACTGCCTTTGAACAGCAGCCCTTACATCTTTTATTAATATCCAGACTGAGTGGACAGTTTTGTTTTTTGATCTAGAAACAGGAGTTTTTATTTTTCTTTTTTCTTCTTTTTTTTTGTAACTTTATTTTGAATAATTTCAAACTTACAGAAAATTGACAACAGTAGTTCAAAGAATACTTTACCCAGATTAACCAGTGGTTTATATTTTCATTATATTCATTCTGTATGTGTGTGTGTGTGTGTGTGTGTGTGTGTGTGTGTTTGTACATTCATAAAATCACTTCAGGTGTAACTTAATGGGTGGTGGTAGTGGTAGTTTGGGGGTTTTTGTGTTTTGTTTTGATACTGGGGATTGAATCCAGGGGTTATTTACCACTGAGCTATATACCCAGTCCCTTTTTATTTTGAAACAGGGGTTTGCTAAATTTCTAAAACTGGCCTCAATCTTGTAATCCTCTTGCCTCAACCTCCTGAGTCACTGAGATTATAGGCATATACCATAGTGCCCAGCTTAAGGATATTTTTTGAAAAATTTTTCCCAGCTAGGGTGACAACCTTTTTATTTTTTCATACTAAAGGCAATTCTTAAAATTTTTAAATTGCTGTATCTTTCTTACAGCTGATAAAACAGCTACATACCTATGATTCATACATATTATATATTATATACACACTCAATAGGTATGTATTTATAACACATTATATATAAATTTTTTAACCTCTATGTTAACATACAAAATGCCCTTTATCCTTGAACATCAATATACATTTTCTAAGAGAAAAAAATCATTATCTCAACCAAAAAATTTGTCCAGGTGCAGTGACGCATACCTTTAATCACAGCAACTCAGGAGGTTGCAGTAGAAGGATCATAAATTTGGGGCCAGACTCAGCAACTTAGAGACCCTTCTTAAAATAAAAAATGAAAAGAGCTGGGGATGTAGCTCAATGGTAGAGTGCCTCTAGGTTCAATCCCCTGCACTGTCCAAAAAACAAAAAAGGAAAGAAATGTAATTAATATAAAACTTTTACCTAACACACAGTCTGTATCCAAGAGTGTAATGACTCTTCTTTATTGCTATTTTGTTTGTTTGTTTGTTTTTGTTTTCTGATTCAGAATCCAATCTAGGATCAAGCATTGCATTTAATTGTCATATGAATCCTTATTTTCTGACAAAAATTTTTAGAAATCAATATTGAAATTTTCATCAGTTTTAACTCTTAGAAAACAATTGATTTAAACAATTTTTTTAACAATTTAAAATTCCCTACCGTTAGTGATAAAATACAGAACCTGATTTTTTACTTCACTCACCATTAATAACCTAGAATATGGGCATCTGCTGGCACAAATTACATATTAGAATGAGCTTTGCAGGCTTTTTGCCTGAAAGTTAAGTAGATTGGAGATATGGAAGATTTGAGGTTCCCAGCAGTATGTCATTTTCCCAAATGCTATAACTAGCCACCAGTATTACATATTACCTGGTAAGTGAAGGGGACCATAGATAGCATGAACAGTTTCCTAAGGATTTATAACAGTAAGTAAAGCATTTTATCTCAGCACTGCAGGGTCACACAAAACAATCCTGCCTGTGATCTTTGTTATCCTAGCCCTCAGTGGAAGAAGCAATGCTTGGCATAGTATTTTAGAAATGCTATACAGGGGCTGGAGTTGTAACTCAGTGGAAGAGTGCTTGCCTAGCACATGTGAGGCACTGGGTTCAATTCTCAGCACCACATATAAATAAATAAAATATAGATCCATCAACAACTAAAAAATATTTTAAAAAAAGAAATACTATACAAACTCAGAAATATGTGCGTGTGTGTGTGTGTGTGTGTGTGTGTGTGTGTGAGTTTCAGAAATATGTAACTGTATCAAGCCTGTTGTACCAGCTCAAAAGATATATAACAATTTAAAATTTTAAGAATTGAGCCAAGCATGGTGGCACATGCCTGTAATCCCAGCAACTCAGGAGGCTGAGGCAGGAAGATCTCAAATTCAAAGCCAGCTTCAGCAACTTAGCAAGGCCCTAAGCAATTCTAAATAAAATACAAAAAAGGGCTGGAGATGTAGCTCAGTGGTTGAGTGCCCCTGAGTTCAATCCCTGGTACACCCCCCCAAAAAAAATTGCCTGTGTGTATGAAACAAAAGCTCTAGCTGGAAAAAAAAATTCAGAAATACTATTGAGTTTAGGTTATACCTGAAAAAAATTGCAATACTGGTATTTTATGATTCCCAGCAGTTATCCTAAACATGTTTCATGTTTCATAATCTCCAGGTTTGCACTGCAGGTAACTAAAATGGTATGGTAAATCTATTTGACAATAAAAGAATCCTTATCATTTTCACAGAACGACAAGAAAATTCAAAAAAAGAATTCTTTATCAGAGAAGAACATAATCAAGAACAGTCTTACTTAAAATTTTCTTCTCTATCTGATTAATGAGGAAATTGCTTCTTTAGTTAATTCACTAGAGTATAAATACTCTGGATTTTCTATCAGCAAGAAAGGGAAAGCTATTTGATTAAATAAAATATTTTTAGGTCCAAATAACTTACATCTTAGTTTCCCTCTAATTAAAGCTGATTCTGAAAAGAATATTCAAGTGTCTGTTTCTTTCTTTTCTCCTCTCAAAAGGGGAGCATTCTTATATCTTATAAAGCCTACAGCTAATTTGAGGTAGGATATCACATGTACACACTTAAAGCATTTAGGAGATAAGTCATGGAGACAATCATGCTGAGTGAAGTAAGTAAATCCCAAAAAACCAAAGGTTGAATATTTTCGCTGGTATTTGGAAGCTAACCCACAATGGGTGGGGAGCAAGGCAAAGTTCAGTAGGGGAATGTAGGGAAGGAGGGGGATAGGAAAAAGAAAGATAGTGGAATGAATCTAACATAATTTTTCTATTACATATATGAATATACCACAGTGAATCTCACTATCATGTACATCCATAAGAATGGGGTCCTAATTAGAAGAAGATATATTTCATGCTTATATAATTACATCCAAATAGATTCTTCTGTCATTTATAATTAAAAATAACCAATCTTTAAAAAAAAAAAAAAAGGAAAAGAAGCCCAAAGTGCTGCCAACTGTAATTGTCATATGACCTCAAAAAATGTCTTAATTGGCAGAGAAGGGGTCAGGTTGGCTTTCCAAGTAGGGAGACTTCTGCAAGCATAATTTTGTGGGACTTTGGTGGTATGGAGAATCAGAATGGGTTCAGGCTATACTTAACCAAAATGGCTACCCCAGGGAGTTTAGATTTAGGTGATAAGCAGTTTTTTGCCTAAGTGTCCTCCTGATGACAGTGGAGTCTTATATGAAGTTTGTCTACTGCCACATCTAAAGAAGGAGAAGCTTAACAAAAGTATGTATAATACAGTAGACTGTACGTATGGCTGTGGGAACAGAAAAGAAAAAATTTGAGCTATGTAGGTGTCAAAACTATAAGTATACCTTTATATTAAATTGACATTCTCCTTGATTTTATTACTTGTAGCACTTTCTCAAAAACAATTGTGAAAGGTGCCAAAAGGGCAGGGAAAATGACAATTGGGCGGCAGTATTTATTGAAGAGGAGGACAGGAACAATTGTAGAAGAGAGAGTAAATCGTCCTGGATGGAATGAAGAAGATGATGTATCTGGTATGTTAAGAACCATTTTTCATGATATAGTTTTTTTATTCTTATTTGAATAAGAAACGACAATGTAGTTGCACTTAACCTTTTTAATTTTTAATTAATTTTTTATTTGTTTTAACTAGTTATACATGACAGTTGAATGCACTTATATACTTTGATATATCATACATACATGGGATATAATTTCTCATTTTTCTGGGTATACATGTTGTATAATCATATTGGTCATACAGTCACATATATACATAAAGTAATAATGTCTGTTTCATTCTACTGTCTTTTTTATCCTCACATCCCCTGCCTTCCCCTTCTTTCACTTCCCTCTACCTAATCTAACATTATTCTTTTTTTTGTCTTTATACATGTACTTTGTTTTTTGTTGTTGTTGTTGTTTTGTATTACAGTTCTTTTTTTCCCCTTATACCATCTCTTTTCTTTATTGATTTTATTATTTTTTTTAAATATACAACAACAGTGGAATGCATTACAATTCTTATTACACATATAGACCACAATTTTTCGTATCTCTGTATATAAAGTATGTTCACGCCAATTTATGGCATTATATATGTACTTTTTTTCATTACAATTCTTAAAAAAACATTTATACCACAATTTTTGTATCTCTGTTTGTATATAAAGTATGTTGACACCCAATTCAAGTCTTCATACGTGTACTTTGTATAATGATCTCCATCACATTCCACCATCCTTGCTAATCCCCTGCCCACTCCCTTTCCCTTCCACCCCTCTGCCCTATCTAGAATTTATCTATTCCTCCCATGCTTTCCCACCCTACCTCACTATGAGTCAACCTCCTTATATCAGAAAAAAACATTCAGCATTTGTTTTTTTAGCATTATATTCTCCAACACCATCCATTTATCTGCAAATGCCATGATTTTGTTCTTTTTTAATGCTGAGTAAAATTCCATTGTGTGTATATGCCACTTTTTTTTTTTTGATCCATTCTACTGAAGGACATCTAGGTTGGCACCACAATTTAGCTATTGTGAATTGTGCAGCTATAAATATTGATGTGGCTGTGTCCCTGTAGATGCTGTTTTTAAGTCCTTTGGGTATCGTCTGAGGAGAAGAATAGCCAGATCAAATGGTGGTTCTATACCCAGTTTTTCAAGGAATCTCCATACTGCTTTCCAAATTGGCTGCACCAATTTGCAGTCCCACCAGCAATGTATGAGTGTGCCTTTTTCCCAACAGCCTCGCCAACACTTATTGTTGTTTGTCTTCATAAAAGCTGCCATTCTGACTGGAGTGAGATGATATCTTAGAGTAGTTTTGATTTGCATTTCTCTAATTGCTAGAGATGATGAGCATTTTTTTATACATTTGTTGATTGATTGTATATCCTCTTCTGAGAAGTGTCTGTTCAGGTCCTTGGCCCATTTGTTGATTGGGTCATTTATTTTTTGGTGCTTAGCTTTTTGAGTTCTTTATATACCCTAAAGATGAGTGCTCTATCTGATGTGTGAGGGATAAAGATTTGCTCCCAGGATGTAGACTCTCTGTTCACCTCACAGATTGTTTCTTTTGCTGAGAAGACACTTTTTAGTTAGATTCCATCACATTTGTTGATTCTTGGTTTTAATTCTTGTACTATAGGAGTCTTATTAAGAAAGTTGGGGCCTAATCCCACATGATGAAGATTAGGGCCTACTTTTTCTTCTATTAGATGCAGATTCTCTGGTTTAATTCCTAGGTCCTTGATCCATTTTGAGTTAAGTTTTGTGTATGGCGAAAGATAGGGGTTTAATTTCATTTTGTTGCATATGGATTTCCAGTTTTCCCAGCACCCTTTATTGAAGATGCTAACTTTTCTCCAGTGTGTGTTTTTGGCACCTTTGTCTAATATAAGATAATTGTAATTTTGTGGGTTAGTTTCTGTGTCCTCTGTTCTATACCATTGGTCTACTAGCCTGTTTTGGTGCCAATACCATGCTGTTTTTGTTACTGTTGCTCTGTAGTATAGTTTAAGATCTGGTATAGCAATACCACCTGTTTCACTCTTCCTACTAAGGATTGCTTTAGCTATTCTGGGTCTCTTATTTTTCCAGATGAATTTCATGATTGCTTTTTCTATTTCTATGAAGAATGCCACTGGGATTTTGATCGGAATTGCATTAAATCTGTATAGTACTTTTGGTAGTGTGGTCATTTTGATAATATTTATTCTGCCTATCCAAGAGCAAGGTAGATCTTTCCATCTTCTAAGGTCTTCTTTGATTTCTCTTTTAGGGTTCTATAGTTTTCATTGTAAAAATCTTTCACCTCTTTCATTAAGTTGATTCCCAAATATCTTTTTTTTTTTTTTTGAGGTTATTGTGAATGGGGTAGTTTTCCTCATTTACTTTTCAGAGGATTTGTCACTGATATACAGAAATGCCTTTGATTTATGGGTGTTGATTTTATATCCTGCCACTTTGCTGAATTCATTTACTAGTTCTAGAAGTTTTCTGGTGGAGTTTTTTGGGTCTTTTAGATATAGAATCACATCATCAGCAAATAGTGCTAATTTAAGTTCTTCTTTTCCTATACTCACCCCTTTGATTTCTTTTGTCTGTCTAATTGCTCTGGCCAGTGTTTCAAGAACTATGTTGAATAGAAGTGGTGAAAGAGGGCGTCCTTGTCTTGTTCCAGTTTTTAGAGGGAATGCCTTCAATTTTTCTCCATATAAAATGATGTTGGCCTGAGACTTAGCATAGATAGCCTTTCTGATGTTGAGATATGTTTCTGTCATCCTTAGTTTTTCTAGTGTTTTTAATATAAAGAGATGCTGTATTTTGTCAAATGCTTTTTCTGTGTCTATTGAGATGATCATATGGTTCTTATCTTTAAGTCTATTGGTGTGATGATTTCTGTATGTTGACCCAACTTGCATCCCTAGGATGAATCCCACTTGATCATGGTGCACAATCTTTTTGATATGTTTTTGTATTCGATTTTCCAGAATTTTATTGAGAATTTTTGCATCTATATTCATTAGAGATGATGGTCTGAAGTTTTCTTTCTTTGATGTGTCTTTGCCTGGTTTTGGGATCAGGATGATATTGGCCTCATAGAATGAGTTTGGAATTACTGCCTTTTTTTCTATTTCCAGAAGTAAATTGAAGAGTATTGGTATTAGTTCTTCTTTAAAGGCCGTGTAGAAATCGGCTGTGTATCCATCCAGTCCTGGGCTTTTCTTGATTGGTAAGCTTCTGATGGCTTCTTCTATTTCCTCACTTGATATTGGTCTGTTTAAATTGTGTATGTCTTCCTGACTCAATCTGGGCAAATCATATGACTTAAGAAATTTGTCGATGCTTTCAAAATCTTCTATTTTATTGGAGTATAAGTTTTCAAAATAATTTCTAATGATCCTCTGTATTTCTGTAGTGTCTGTTGTGATATTACCTTTTTCATCATGTATGCTGGTAATTTGAGTTCTCGCTCTCCTTTGTTAACATGTCTAAGGGTCTGTCAATTTTATTTATTTTTTAAAAGAACCAACTTTTTGTTTTGTCAATTTTTTCAATTGTTTCTTTTGTTTTGATTTCATTGATTTCAGCTCTAATTTTAATTATTTCTTGCCTTCTACTGCTTTTGCTGCTGATTTTTTCTTTCTTTTTCTAGGGCTTTGAGATGTAGTGTGAGGTCATTTATTTGTTGACTTTTTCTTCTTTTAAGGAATGAACCCCATGCAACAAATTTACCTCTTAGTACTGCTTTCATAGTGTCCCAGAGATTTCATATGTTGTGTCTATGTTCTTATTTACCTCTAGGAATTTTTTTAATCTCTTCCTTGATGTCTTCTGTAACCCATTTTTCATTCAGTAGCATATTGTTTAGTCTCCAGGTGATGGAGAAATTTTTATTTTTTATTTTGTCATTGATTTCTAATTTCATTCCATTATGATCTGATAAAATGCATAGTAGTATATCTACTTTTTTGTATTTGCTAAGAGTTGCTTTGTGGCATAGTATATGGTCTATTTTAGAGAAGGAGCCATGTGCTGCTGAGAAAAATGTGTATCCGCTTGATGAAGGTTGAAATATTCTATATATGTCAGTTAAGTAAGTTATTGATTATGTTATTGAGTTCTATTGTTTCTTTATTCAACTTTTGTTTGGAACATCTATCCAGTGGTGAGAGAGGTGTGTTAACATCACCCAAGATTATTGTGTTATGGTCAATTTGACTCTTGAACTTGAGAAGAGTTTGTTTGATGAACATAGCTGCACCATTGTTTGGAGCAAATATATTAATGATTGTTGTGTCTTGTTGGTGTATGGTTACCTTGAGCAGTACGTAATGTCCATCTTCATCCCTTTTGATTGACCTTGGCTTTAAGTCTACTTTATTTGATATGAGTATGGAAACTCCTACTTGCTTTCACAGTCCATGTGAGTGGTATGATTTTTCCCAGCCTTTCACCTTCAGTCTGTATATGTCTTTTCCTTTCAGATAAGTCTCCTGGAGGCAGCATATTGTTGGGTCTATTTTTTAATCAATCTGCTAGCCTATGTCTTTTGATTGGTGAGTTTAAGCCATTAACATTTAGAGTTATTATTGAGACATGGTTTGTATTTCCAGCCATATTTATTTTTGTTATTTTACTTGAATTGGTTTTCCTCTTTGATTAGTTTTTCCTTTAGTGTCCTACCTTCCTTTGCTGATTTTCATTGCTGTTTTTCATTTCCTCTTCATGAAATATTTTGCCAAGGATGTTTTGTAGTTCCAGTTTTCTAGCTATATAGTTTTCTTTTAACTTGTTTATCATGGAAGGTTTTTATTTCATCTTCAAATCTAAAGCTTAATTTTGCTGGATACAAGATTCTTTTGGTTGGCACCCATTATCTTTCAGAACTTGATATATATATGTTGTTCCAGGATCTTTTAGCTTTAAGGATCTGTGTTGAAAAATCTGCCGTTATCCTAGTTGATTTTCCCTTATATGTAATTTGATTCCTTTTTCTTGTGGCTTTTTTGTTTCTCTCTCCTTATTCTTCATGTTGAGCATTTTCATTATAATGTGCCTTGGTGTGGGTCTGTTGTGATTTTGTACATTCGGAGTCATGTAGACTTCTTGAATTTGGATTTCCAATTCATTCTTCATGTTTGGAAAGTTTTCTGATATTATTTCATTGAATAGTTTGTTCATTCCTTTGGTTTGGATCTCTGTGCCTTCCTCTATCTAAATAACTCTTAAATTTGGTCTTTTTATGTTATCCCATATTTCTTGAATGTTCTGCTCATGGTTTCTTATCATTTTCACTGTGTGGGTCTATGTTCTTTTCAAGATTATTTACTTGATCTTCATTGTCTGATGTCCTATCTTCTAAGTGGTCTTCTCTGTGATACATTTCATTTTTAATTTGGTTTATTATTTCTTTCATTTCAAGGATTTCTGTTTGGGTTTTTTTGTATAACCTCTATCTCCCTGTTGAGGTGATTTTTTACATCTTGGATTTGTTTATGTAGCTCATTGTTAAAGTGATCTTTGACTGCCTGTGTTTGTTCTCTTATGTCTTCTTTGAGATCCCAAAACATTTTAACCATGTATATTTTGAAATCTTTCTCTGTCATTTTTTTCTGCAATAGCTTCCAATTCTTCTAATAATGTGTTGTCTTGATTTGTTTGTGGTACTTTCTTCCCTTGTCTTTTCATGTTGCTCATGTGTCTTCCTTTCCAGCTCTGTGGATCTGGTGTGTTATTGTTTTTACCCTATAGATTTGTAGTGCTCTTATAGGGTTCCAAGATTTCTCCTTTGTGGGAAAGGACAATGTTAACAGACCAATATCAACAATACTTAACCTGCTCAAATGGCGATCCGATCTGATAGCCATGCCCACCACAAAATGGCGAGGAAGGTTTTCCAAAATGGAGTTGGTCTGCTTCCACTGCCGGGTTGTCTGGTGATGTAGGAGGAGCTGGGCAATGACCTTGTGCTGTGGGTAGGTAGCAGCCCAGTGACCGGTGTGGGAATGGCGCACAGTCTGGAGTTCTGCAGAGGTTCTGATAGGTGTTTCTGCTTAGCTGCTCGTGAGCCGTGCATGAGCTAGAACTGTGGGCTTTGGGTCCGGAGTCTGGAGACGAGTTACTTGAGCTCAGAGGCTCTGATTTCTGCGCGGGTAGTCGCAGCCCTGGTGATTTCTGCAAAAATCCACTGGCCCCTGGAGATCCAGTCTTGGAACTGCCCCCACCTAATATGGCCAGAATGATGAGCCAAGATGGCAGCCGTCTGCTTTCAGCACTGGGGTGTCTGGTGAGGTTGGGGGAGCTGGGTGATGGCGTTGTACTGTGGGTAGGTAGCAGGTGAGTGACCTGCATGGGAGCAGAGCAAAGTCTTGGCAATCTGCAGATGTGTTGATAGGTGATTCTGCTAAGGCGATGGTTGAGTCTTGCATGAACTGGAACTTCGGGCTTTGGGTCCTGCTCGAATACTGAGGCCCCAGAGTCCTGCGCGGAGTCACAACGTGATTTCTGCAGAGAGTAGCTGTATAGGGGTCCTCTAACATTCTCAGAGATGCAGTATTCCGAGTAGGTGAGATCTGGATCACAGAGCAACACAGAATGCTGCCTCCCTCAGGTCCGCCATCTTGAAACTCGTGCACTTAACCTTTGATGTACAAAAATCTAGATCTTATGAGAAGACTGAAAATACCAAGTTATCAGAACTGAAAAAATTATAATCATTTTCCTCATATTCTGTTGTTTAGATAATATTTTATTAAATTATACTTCTTTACTAAATTTATACATTGACATTTTCATGTGGGTCTTATAAAAAGGAGTTAGAAGGAAACTCCACTGCATAGAAAATTTGGGTACAAGGTACTCCACTGTACTTTATTCTAACATAATAAGAATAAGGAAGTAAAGATATTGAATATTCAAAGTTAAAGATTGGGCTTTTGATAAAAATATTTGTGAGTCCTCTTAATCAAAAGGGAGACCTAAGATGAAGGAATTCTTAGGTGATAATAAAAAATATCTGCTAAATATTTAAAAGAATTCACAGGCTGGGGCTGGGACTAAGTGGTAGAGCGCTTGCGCACATGCGAGGCCCTGGGTTTGATCCTCAGCACCACATATAAATAAAAATTTAAAAATAAAATAGATAAAAAATATTTTTAAAAAATATAGTTGAGGTAGTCAATATAATACTTAGTTGGGAAAACCGAAGAAAGCCAGTAGCCAAATATCATATTGACTGATTTTTTTTCCTATGTAACCCAATATCTATATACTATGGAATTAATACTACAAAGAATCTGATCTAATGTGGGAGGGATGTCATTATATGATTTTCCTATCAAAATTTTAGATCCACTTAGTGATTATACAATAACTACTACCTGTAACAGTAACGACAACATTTTAAAAGAAACCTTGTCTTTAGGGAGAGCTCTGGCTAAAAGGTCTCCATTTCAATTTACTGGGATAAAGAACTTATGAGGTTTTGTGTGTCTGAATGCATGCCTTCCGTATATGAGAAGGTGTGCTTACGTTCTTCCTGTGGGAGCAATGTAAAGATCCATCATTTCGTTACTGAAGTGACCATTTGATGGAACCCTGGCCTTCTCACAGTAATATGTAAATCCATAAAAAATTACTGTTGCCCATCCTGATGACTTTTCTAATTCAAAGATTTTATGATTTTATGGAACAAAAAACATTCTGTTAACTGGGCATAATGGTTTTGCACCTATAGTCCCAAACATTGAGGAGACCAAGACAGGAGGATGGTTCAGCCCAGGAGTTCAAGGTCAACATAAGCAATATAGTAAGACCCTGTCTCAAAAAACAAACAAATAAACAAATAAGTATTATTCTATGATAATGATTCCATGAAAAAAACAAATTATGTAATGCTCTTTGCTCCTCTGAAAATTAAAGGCCAACATAAAATTAGCACTTGATTATCTTCCATTGCAAAGTTCACAGATTGAAACACAAAGTCTTATTTTTGCAGGGGTAGCTGTTGGTTTTCATCTTTTTTTCTTTTTAATTTTAATGGAAGAAAGCCATCTCTTTTCTTTACACACTAGTACTTTGAGTATATTTCCATAACCTTCAATAGTTTTATTTGACATTTCTCCCTTTAAAAACAAACAGAAAAATAAAGTAGGATAGTTATTAACATGGATTTTTATCTTTTTTTTTCTTTCTTTCTTTCTTTTTTTTTTTTTTTAGAACATACAGTATCAGTTCGGAATATCTTTTGTTTTTAATCCTCCCTTAACATACTTGATTATTGAGTAAATTCTTTCACATCTAAAATCGTAAAGAGGTCTGTAACCATGATTGCAAAACTGTGAGGGAGTTTTTCATGTACACCACATCATACAACAAAATAAAAAAAATATTTTCAGAAAAGAAGTATAACTTCTTTATACCACTCTAAGGGGGAAAAAAGGTTCTTCCCTCTAGTGAGCTTCTGCTTACTCTAGAAATTTCTAATAAAATTTATGCTCTGAAAAGTAAACTGAAACCCAAATGATGAATTTAGGTAATGATCTTTCCTACTAAAGATAAACTTACTGGCATGACAGTTAACTTCTGACAACATTTGGGTATTTTTATAGTCATATATAGAAATCACTGCAGTTTGGCATTAATGAGAAGATTGATTAAAAATAGAAAAATATTGGCAATTAATTCATAATTATTATTTTTAGAAATTACTTAAATGCTATTATTCCTCTGACATTTTCTAGTTAACTGAATTACTACTATTAGTTTCCTTACTGTACACTGCTATTTTAATTCATGTTTATTTATAATTCCTCATAGAAGTTACATGGTTTAATTTATTTATTTATTTATTTTTCTTATGCCAAACTTTTGTGACACCATTTTCTTTAGAATAGGCTATTCCAAGGTCACTTTGGAAAACAACAATAACCACAATAACAAACAGGAAGATGAGGCATGAGGACTCGTTCCTGGCCTCCTGTGGCTTAGAAACAACTGGACTTGTCTGTTTCAGGTTCATTTTGCCACATCAACAGTCCCCATGTTCAAGGGCTTCAGCAGAAGAGATGTCACCAGGGCATCTTCCCGTCCACCCACTCACTTTCATGCCATCTTCCGTGCCATTGTTTCTCCCCCTGTGGGTGACTTCCCTGTGCAATCCATGTCACACTTCTATCTCTTCCCCATTCTAATTTTTCTTGCTTCTTTGTTTGCAGATTTTCTTGTCAAAGTCTTTTTTTTTTATTGTTGGTCATTCAAAACATTACATCTTTCTTGATATATCATATTTCACAGTTTGATTCAAAAGGGTTATGAACTCCCATTTTTACCCCATATACAGATTGCTGAATCACATCAGTTACATCAATTACATTTCCATTGATTTACATATTGCCATTCTAGTGTCTGATGAATTCTGCTCTCTATCCTATCCTCTACTATCGGTTTAATTTATGATATACATAATACCTAAGCTCTAATGTAAAGATTCTTTTCAAAACTAAGTTTTGAATCCTAGCTGAGTGCAGTGGCAGCAATTTGGGAGGCTGAGGCAGGAGGATTGTGAGTTCAAAGCTGGCCTCAGCAACTTAGTGAGGCCCTAAGCAACTCAGTGAGACCCTGTCTCAAAATAAAATACAAAAAAAGGCTGAAGATGTGGCTCAGTTAAGCACCACTGGTTCAATCCCAAGTACAAAAAAAAATTAATAATAAATTTAGAATTTTTTAATTTGAGTTAATTATTTCTTAAAACCCTGTTGTTGCCATTATAGTTTCAGATGATAGTGAACTCCCGACAAGTACCTTGAAGGCTTCGGAGAAGTCTACAATGGAACAGTTGGTGGAAAAAGCTTGTTTCAGAGACTATCAGCGTTTAGGTTTGGGAACCATAAGTGGCAGCTCCTCCCGATCAAAACCGGAGTATTTCCGAATCACTGCCTCCAACAGGATGTATTCACTGTGCCGGAGGTAAGTATCAGTGGGCTCCAAAAAGAAACCTTTCCTTTCTTCCTGTTTGAGTCATCAATGGGCTGTTTACATCTGTAATCCAGAGATAAATAAAAGTGCCAGAAAAGAGATATAAATATTTTAGAGATACTTTTTATGCAGAATGAAAAAGCATATCATTGGTATTCTTAAAATACGTGTATCACCAAAAAGTGCTGTACTAGGTCAGACAGTGAAAGACAAAGTGTTTATCTCCTCTGTGGATATCCTTTATGTCTCTCTTCCCAGTTTGGTTTTTTTCTAGCATACACAAAGATAACATGAAGCAAGGGACTGGGGTTGTGGCTCAGTGGTAGAGCACTTGCCTAGCACATGTGAGGCACTGGGTTTGATTCTCAGCACCACTTGTAAATAAATAAATAAAATAAAGGTCCATCAAAAACTAATAAAAATATTTTTTAAAAAAAATATAACATGAAGAAAGAAAAGGATGTGCTCAGACACATGAGCAAAGTAAAGTGAAGTCTGCTACAAGCCTAGGATCCCAAAACCTTTTCTGTAAAAGGACAGATAAAATAATTTCAGGTTTTGAACTATAAAGTCTCTTATTGCAGCCCCTTAGCTCTGTGACAGAAGCGACATTAAAGAATGAGTGGATATGACTGGCTTTGGCCCACAGTCTGTAATTTGCTAACCCAGGTGTAGGCACAGCTTTTGTATGCTGTCTAATTAGAATATTTATTAAATTATATTAATAATATAAATGAACACATTTTTTTCTATTTTTGTTGCCTCTTGCTGCTTTTCAAATGTTAGGCTCTGTTTCATTCTTTACTATATGTAAATATATATTTTCTAAAACTATATTCCACCATTCTACAAGTTCAGTCACTTTCATCTACTGATAAGTCATTTTCTTTTATGTATGTATATATTCCTGCTTGGATTAAATAGCTTCAAAGCCACTTTGTAAATTTTAAGCCTTGTACATATTTTAGAAAATTGTCTTCGTGTTACTATTAGTTTCAGCCCTGCTGCTCCAAAAGAACTATAGGTATGTCATTTTAAATGGCAACTTAAATGTACAAATACCAGTATGACAATTGAGAAACTAATTGAGAATATAATTTGAGATTATGGACACAAAAAACATTTTGCATGAAGTACTAAAAAGGTGGGACTAAATATGCAGCAATTTTTCTGAGATTCTTATTTCTCTTTGTAGATAGGTATTAGTAGTGTTGTCGGGATGTGATGTCCTGATGATTGGAAAGCTTGCTATCAGGATTATGCTCACCAGTGAGAAAATAGATTTTATTTATTATTTTAGTCTGTCAGAAGCAAAGTAAAATCTTAATAGACAATTTATTAGAAGACCTGTTATAAAAACATTTTTGGTAGTGTAAAATATATATCTATCAAATTGTTAGAATGAAATAGAATAACAAATAAATCATAAGAATGCATGAAAGGAAAGAAAAGGAAACATAGGACAAACAGAATACATGTAGTAAGATGGTGAATTTATATCAATAATTGTAAATATTTAAATATTTCAATATTTACATTAAAGAAACATAAAACCTTTAATAAAAGCTGTTATCATACAAACATCAAAGTATAAAGCTTTACTTTAAAGTATAAAGCATTTCTAGCAATAAAGAAGATTTAACAAAAGATTCATTTCACACACAGAAATTCATTAAGACTAAGAAGAGTTTATTTCTTTACAGAAATACAGAATTGGCTTAACATTGAAAGTAAGCCTCAGAAAGATCAGTAGAGTAGAGGGAAGGGAGCAATGGGTGGGGTGAGAGGAGAGGAAGGAGTGGTGCTGAGGACTAAATTAGAACAAGATACTTTCCATGCTTTTATAATTATGTAAAAATGAATTCTACTGTCATATCTAACTAAAAATAACCAATGAATAAAAAGAAAGTGAGCCTGGAGGCGTGACTCAATAGTAGAGTGGTTGCCTGCCATGCACAAGGGCCTGGGTTTCTCCCTAGCAAGAAAAGTCAAGGGAGAAGGAGATAAAGAGGCAAATCAGTCAGTGTATCTGACTGTGTTTGGTACTTTAACAAAATTAAAAAGAAAAAATATGTAATAAGGTTTTATATTTAGGAAAACATTTTATAAGATGTAATATACACTTATGATTTTTTTAAAAGAACTGAGTAAAATCAGACATAAAGGGATAGCTCCTTAATCTGTCTTATAAACCTTATAGCAAAACTTACTTAATGGTAAAAAGCTTTTCCTCTGAGATCAGATGACAAGGATGCTCTCTATCACCACTTCTATTCAGTGTTGCATTTGAGGTCCTGGGGAGTGAAAAAAGAACTAGAAAAATAAATGATAAAAGGTTAAAGGTTGAAGAGAAAAAATAAAGTTGTCATTAATCACAGGAGATCCGAATGTACATGTAGAAAATCTGAAGGAATCTACAGGTAAAGTAGGTTACTGGTATAAAGTCATTCTAGTAGTCATGTATGTATCCAAACCAAACCATTGAAAAATGAAATTTTAAGATGATGCTATTTGATATTTTAATGATGCTATTTACTGACACTATTTACAGTTGCACTAAGAAGCATCAAATACTTAGGAATAAATCCATTGAAAGATGTGCAACACCTCTATATGGAACACTCACAATAATATTGAGGATCATTACAGCTCTAAATAAATAGATATTTCATGTTTTAGATTCAAATATTCAATATTTTCATAATTGTAAGTTCTCCTAAAATTGGTCTATAGATCCAATGAAATCACAACTAGAATCCTAGCAAAAGGTTTTTGGAAATTGAAAAGGTGTTTCTAAGAGTTATGTAAGAATGCAGAAAGCCAGGAGTAGTAAGGATAGCCTTACAGTATAGTACTACAGTATATCAAGACTTTTTGTAAAGCTTCAGTAATTAAGATAGCACAGATAGCACAAGGATGGACAAACAGACCAGTGGAACAAAAGAAAGAATATAGCAACAGCCCAAGATTTGTCTTGGTTTAGGGTAAAAGTTGCACTTAAGAGCAGTGAATGGAAAGTTGTCAATATATGGTGCTGGAGATATAGATATAGATATGGATTAATCTTTATCCCAAGCTTATAATGTAAACAAAATCAATCCCCATTAACCTGTAGATCTGCATATAAAAAATTAAAAGTTGCTGGCTGGGTGCAGTGGCACACACCAGTAATCCTAGAGGCTCAGGAGGTTGAGGCAAAAGTATTGCAAGTTCAAAGCCAGCCTCAGCAATTTAGCTAGTCCCTAAGCAGCTTAGCAAGACTGTCTCAAAATAAAAAGGGCTGGGGATATGTCTCAGTGGTTAAGTGCCCGAGTTCAATCCCTGGTATTAAAAAAAAAAATTAAAATTAAATTAAAAAGTCCTAAAAGATAGAAGAATATCTTTATGACCTTGAGGTATAGAAAGATGCCTTAGGACAGGAAAAGCATTATCCATATAGAATTGATAAATTAAGGAGTGTTGTACACTAGATTAAAAGGTGATTCTAAGAATAAGAATTCTAAGAATAAAAGGCAATAAAAATGTCAGGAGACTTGAACAAACACAAAAGAGAATATTTTGGTAGTAAAAAAATAGTATCTGAAAAGACACTCAACTTACTAATCTTCAGATAACTAAAAATTAATATCCCAGTGAGATAACTATATAAACCTGCCAAAATGGCCAAAATTTAAGACTGACAATACACAGTGCTAGTAAAGATGTTGAGCAATTAGACTCTCACTTGTTACTGTTGGGACTGTAAATTGGTAAACAACTTCAGAAAGTTACCTGGTAGCATCTACTAAACATTGAAGCAGCTACTTAACATGTTCATAACCTATTACCCAAAAATTCTCTCTTAGATAGAGTAGAATTTGTAACAGAAATACACATGTGCTCCTAACAGATGTCTGTAAGAATGTTCATGGCAATGTTATTGTTATTATTACTACATGTTTAGGGGGAGTGGTTTCTGGGGTTTTTGGTTGGGGTTTTTGTGGGGTTTGTTGCTGTGAATTGAACTCAAGGTCTCATGCATAAGTATGCACTCTACCATTGAGCTACACCCCCAGCCCCTGCAACATTATTCTTAACAAAATCAATATATTTTCACAAACTGCACAAAAATCAACATAAGGACAGAAAAATAAATAGTAATATACTATACAGGAATGAAAATGAATAAATTATATCTTTATATAGTAATATTGGTGGATTTCACAATATTAAGCAAAAGAAGCCAGAACAAGAGAACAAATTCCATTGATTTCTTTTATCTGGAATTTAGAAATGGACCAAATCTATCCATATTGTTAGCAATCAGGAAAGGTAATCTTTAAGGAAGAGAAACAGTGATTGGGATGGAACACAGGGGGTCTTCTTAGATGCTGATAATGGTTCATTTTTTGACATAGGTGGTAGTGGCATGAGTTTCATTTTTGTGTTAACCGTTCGTAAACCGTTCATGTGAACTATTCCTTGTTTTAAAAATTTCCACGGCAGCTTTTGAAGCCCAGTCTATCCCGTGAGGCTTATTACTCTTGAGCCTACATCTGAAGGCTCTAGGGGAAGTTTGATAGAGTGGTAGCAGGGTAATTGGTATATTTCATTACTAAATGAGACTGTTAGTAAGAGTACCTCTAGTGGTCTTCAGTCTTACCACTCTTTGCCCCAGCACCAGGAGCTATCAACCTGTCACTCCAGCATGTGTGGGAGCAGGAGAGCCTTGTATCCTATATGTAGCACAGCATGGTCTGTGGTACTCATGTCCAGTGGAAGGAATGGACAGCCCTACTACAGGAGGCAAGGAGTGAAGGAGTGTGCTTATTCTGTCTCTGTTACTGAGGCAGCCATTACACATTACTCCCTTTACCTAACATACATTATCATGGTATATAGAAGCAAGTTAAGGGAGAACAGAAATTAAAGTGGTACTAGAAATAAAGAGTTCTAATGATGGAAGTGCTTTTTCAGTCCTCCTGAATGATTAATGGTGTCAACAGCATAGTCTTCTCAACAGTTTTTGGTATGAATAAAATACAGGTTACAACTTCCTGGAATACCAGAGTACTAGGAGTGCTAGGCTTTTAAAAGGTGGGGTAAGTTTTAATTTGACATTCACTAAAGTAGTTGAAGGCTGTGATTTTCATGACTGTAAACTGGATTATATCAAGCTAAATAATTAGAATTTTTAGGAATGATATTGGTGGTGGTCATACAACAGTGTGAATATACTTTATACTACTGATTTGTACACTTTAAAAAAAGATAACATGGTGAATTTTATGTAGTTATATTTTACCACCACAAAAAAATCACCAAATAAATAAATAAATAAAAGATGCTAGATTAGTGGTTGTGAATGTATAAAATCCCTTTAGTGTAATATTTCTAAATAAAGAAATGGCTCTGAAGTCTGCTTATCTTCTTACACTTACTAATCTGTAAAACAAGGTATTCTTACATTTTTTTTTATTTCCACAACATCATATCCTACAACTTTATGAGCTAATCTTTTTAAAGTACATATCAACATGTAATGTTAATAAAATATTTAAACTCATTGTGATGTTTGAATATTTCATTTTCATAAAAATCATTTAGTTTTGATTTTTAATCATTTCACCATCTCAGGCAGTCTAATTATTGGTGTGCTTTGTTCTCTGTTGTCATTTCAGTGATCTGTAAGTTGTTGATAATTTGACTTGTCATTCACATAAAGTTGATATTAATTCACTAATCTTACAATTTTTATTTCAAGTTGAGGAAAAGTAGTGTATGAGGACAGGGAAATATTCAGCTCCATAGAAACCTTTTAAATATTATGTAATTTTTGTTGTTGTGAAGTACAAATTCTTTTTCAAAACCATAGGAATGTCAAATAAAGGGATGAAAATCATTTTTCCAAGTTGCATATAAGTAAAATATCTTTTTACATGGTTTTTTAAAAATAAAAAAGACAGACCCATGTATTTTATATTCACATTACTACAAAATATTAACCCTGGTATATGAGAATAGAAAAAACCCTGAAATTTTAAACTTTTCAAATACTATATATAAAATTTCCTTAGTCTTTTTTTACCATATGTGTATATCACTTTTTATTCTTAGAAATCTTTTCTTTTGTTCTAATTAGTTATACATGACAATAGAATGCATTTTGACACACTGTAGACAAATGGAGCACAACTTCTCCTTCCTCTGGCTGTACATGGAACAGAATAAATATTATATAATATTTTTATTTTCTTTTTTTTTGCTTTTTTTATTTTATTTATTTATTTATTTTTATTAGTTGTTCAAATGGGAGTTCATAATCCGTTTGAATCAAATGTATGAAATATGATATGTCAAGAGCTTTGTAAAGTTTTGAATATTTTTATTTTCTAAACTTAGGTTATTCACAAAAGTCTGCACTATCATTGTAAGAGGCTCATTTAAAAAAAAAGAAAGAAAGAAAAGAAAAACTACAGACTGGTGGGTGAGGGTGAATGAGTTAGCTGTGTTCATATTTTCTTCTCAGCCCCGAAGAATCAAAGAGTTGAAATGAAGTTTCATGTTTAAAATATGTCTTACCCCTTCAACCAGTGTGTTTTTGAATCTTAAAAAATTACTGTGCTAGTATGCTATTCATACTCTTATATCTTCTGTCTCCCCCCACCCATTTCTTTCTTCCTCTCCAACCCAAACACTCCCTTTCTCCCTTCCAAATCCCTAAAGCTATCCTGGCCTTTTAGTTGTACCTCAAGCTGTACAGGACAGTAGTTTACCAAGAGTAGCCCGCTGCTATCGACACAATCGCCTGCCTGTTGTATGTTGGAAGAACTCAAGAAGTGGTACTCTGCTCCTCCGATCTGGAGGATTCCATGGGAAGGGAGTTGTTGGTCTTTTCAAATCTCAGAACTCCCCTCAGGCTGGTAAGCATCTCTTTAGAGCACAATTTTGACCCTTTTACTAAATGTATTCCTAAAAATAAGCTGTTAAAAAATCTGGGTGTGGCAGTGTATACCTATAGTCCCAGCTACTTGGAGGGCAGAGGCAAAAAGATCACTGTAGTTTGGGGGCCAGCCTGGGCAACTCAGCTTTCTCAAAAAAAGAAAAGTAGAAAAGTGAAGACCTGCAAATGCCAGCCATTCCCTTTCATCAAGCCTGTCTCACATCAGTTTTCCCACTCATACAGCCAAAGTAAGAATTGTATCTGGCAGTGTGGGCTCCATCTTGAATTTGACATCTTAATATATCTGGCTTACCTTTGATTTTAATGAAAATTAGTAAAGTAAAGTCTAATTATAGGCTATTTTCATTCCAGCAAACCAGAGCATCCACTAATACAAACTAGATTTTATCAACAATTTTCCTTTCTGCTGAGAAGCATCCAAATATATTTAACAGCTTCAGAGGCAAGTAGAGATTCTGACCTAGGTGATATGAGATTTCCTATCTATCCCTACAACACACACACACACACACACACACACACAAAAAAAAGCAAAACAGCAGCAGCAGCAATCTAACAACCAAAATGCTGCCTTAGGAGCTCTTAGAGCTTTTTTTAGAAAACTAGGGAAATAAGTGCTGCTGTCCCTTTGGGGGATAATATTGTGAGTACTGTGTCTAAAGTCAGAGTTACATTTGGCTTACTTTACTCAGCTTCTGCCTCATAATAGATGTTCAATAAGGTAAACCATGGGCCACTAAGATATCAGATCCAATTGGGGATGACAGCATTCTTCCCCCCTTTGGAAATGAAATAAATTCAAAATCTATGGTTGAGCAGATAGAACCATGTGCTTTTTGCAGTTTCTCCTTTATTATCCTTTTCCTTCCTAAAAGTTGGCCAGTGTATCCTTGATCATTTATTTGGTTGACTGAGGTCAACATACACATAATGCTATATTCAGCCAGGCTTACAGTCTCAGCACAGATATAAAAAGGCAGTTGACTTGTACCAATTTCTGCTCTAAGGAATCTTCCCAAGCCACATAGTAGGTATAATGGAAAATAAGCATATGTAAGTTACATAAAGTATCATTTCAGGAATACTGGTGACCATCTCACTAAGCTTGTAGTTGAAAAAAACAATGAGGCTTATTCCACAGGTTTTGGGAGGTTTTGTTTTAGTTTGGTTTTGGTACTAGGGATTGAACCCAGGGATACTCTACCACAGAGCTATATCTCCAGTACTTTTTTATTTTTTATTTTGAGACACTGTCACTAAATTGCTGAGGCTGGCCTCAAACTTGCCACCCTCAGCTGGGATTAAAGGAGTGGACCACCACATCTGGTTTGATTTCTTTTTTTAATATTTATTTTTTAGTTGTAGTCGGACAAAATATCTTTATTTTATTTATTTTTATGTGGTGCTGAGGATCAAACCCAGGGCCTTGCATGTGCTAGGCAAGTCCTGTACCACTGAGCCACAGTCCCAGCCTCTGGTTTGATTTTTTTAATATTAATTTACTGAATTCACACATTTGCTCACATTTTAATGTATTTGAAATTGGGATACATCTTAGAATGGATGTAATGAGAAAGAAATAGTATAGTTTAAATGGCAGTGTTGTTTTTTTTTCATGGTACTTAAAATGACAATGTGTCATATCCTTGTTGTCATATTAGAATGTGCAAAGTACAACCATGGGGGCTGGAGTTGTAGCTTATAATGGAACACTTGCCTACCACATGTGAGGGACTTGGTTCGACCCTCAGCACCACATAAAAATAAATAAAATAAAGGCATGTGTTTAAAAATATATAATCATAGCATCAGAGTTGGTTTAGAATGTCAATTATTTTCTGTACAGGTTATAAAGAAAATTTGTGAATAAGTGACTGAGCCAATTTCATTGATTCTGTTAAGCGCCACATAAGCCAGGCTCATATTCCCTCCAACTCAAATTTGTTCTCATAGTTGTTTTTAATTTGTGTATATTTTTGCCTCCCCACACCCCATTTTTAAATTTACTTTATTTTGTATTTATTTATTTTTGCAGAACTAGGGATTGAGCTCAGGGCCTCATAGATGGTAGGCAAGTACTCTACCACTGAGCTACATCCTCAACCCCTTACTTTTTTGAGACAGGGTCTCACTAAGTTGCCCAGGCTGACCTCAAACTTGCAGTCCAGAGTCTCAGCCTCTCAAGTAACTAAGATTACAGGTGTACACCACTATTCCCAGCTTTCCCTTTTGAAAAGACCAGGGAATCTGTTAGTTGCTCTTATCTTCTCTCCATTTTCCTCCACTCTTCCCTTAAGCCCTTGCAACCTTAAATACCCTGTTAGACCTGCGTGGCAAAGTTGGAATAAAGCTGTGGTATTAGGAAATTCCTGCTTCTGCCCATTCTGGGATGCCAAGGAAATCCACTCTGTCCTCTGCTCCCAAAAAATAGCATGAACAGGATGTTGAAGGAGATTATCAAGGAAATGTTGTTTGTGAATCTTCATTTTGAGTTACTTGGGTAATGAGAAGCTACACCAGTGCTTAGAAGGATAGCCCTGTGCTGGTTTTCCATACCTGGGCTCTGTCTGGGAGGATGATGAAGCAATTGAGAAGTAGGTGTGGTGAAACCATAATCATGGGATTAGCCATTTAATTGATTGGGGCATTAAGTGGGGCTGGTTTCTATATTTGGGTGTGGTAACACAAGACTATGTAGAGAAAGTATAAGCAAATATATGTAGAAGCTTGTTTTATTAACATAGAGACAGTTTGTTTTATCCAATATCTTTTCCTTGTATAGCTCCTACCTCCTCTTTAGAATCTTCCAGTAGCATAGAACAAGAAAAGTACTTGCAAGCCTTACTGAATGCAGTTTCTGTCCATCAGAAACTCAGAGGCAACAACACCCTTACTGTCAGGCCAGCACTTGCCTTGTCTCCAGGTAAGAGTCATTAATACTTTTCTCTTTGATAACTACTTTGAAAGGTCAGATTGTTCCTAGTGTTAGTCTCTTCAATTATTTGCACTGTTCCTTCCACATGACCTCTTAAAAGTTTTAACCCTGGAGGGTCTTTTACTTAGAATGCAAGATTATCACTATTAATATTTAGTAAATGGTAACCATATTTAGAGATTCAGTTATTCCCTTTTTAAAATAGTATAGGAAAGGGAATAGAGAAAATAAAGTCACCCCTTCTTATTCCAGAATCTTCACCCAAACTTTATAATATTATGAGATTGAATGTATAAATTGAACATCAATTCATTGAATGTGTATTTATTGCAATTATGTGTAAGTTTGAAATTCCCAAAATTTCCATAGCCTTTTATGATTTTGCAGTACAGTTTGTTTTCTCTATATTTGGATGAAGGCATTAAGACTTGTACTAATATTCTGTTTCAGTCATCATGTGATGGAACCCCAAAGGGTTCATGTAGAGGTAACCCTAATGTGTTAGACACAGGAGCATGTGACTTGAGAAGTTGGTCTCTGGCTTAATCAGCTGTTTGAATTAGCTCAACATAAGCAGAAAGTGGCTTTTCTTGTAAAGTAACACCATGCATGCCTTGCTTCATTTATCATTAAATTCTCTGATTGCACTTGCCAAACCTAATTCCCTGTAATCTTGCAAATGTGTGTTATCTTTGATGAAATAATAACATTGCCTTGTTATCTCTAATAAAGCTTTGGGTACTTAAAAAGTACAATGTTTGGCAGCAATTAGACATGCTACACATAAAGATAAATTTTGTCATTTGAGTAATGTTAACCCAAACGACATGGTTTTTGTTCTTCTTTTTGGCTGACTTTAGGGACTGAAAGGAGGACTTCAAGAATGTCCACTGTGCTTAAGCAGGTAGTGCCAGGACATTTGGATGTAAACCCATCCAATAGCTTTTCTCGAGGAGGTTAGTAAGATTGATTTTATAACTGAGCACTGATACAAGGTTAAAAGCAGAAAACATTTTTCTAGATAGTAGAGTTTTAAAAATCAACTAATTATGGTTCAAATGGTTCTCAATTATCTTCTAAATGAATACTAAGAATTTATTAAATTTGTTACTGTTAGTATGATGACAAAAGAGTTTAGACTCATGGGATAATATGCATAATCATTGCTGGTGTCTTCATACTGAAGAGTCTGGGAGCATAAGGGGCTGAGGGTAATATGTCTAAGTGGGGAATTAGCTCTGGGAATGCTCCAGGCTTATAGGGTAGAGAAGTCAGCTCTCTGTTGCTGTGACAAAATACCTGAGATAAACAACTTTTAAGGAGGGAAGATTTATTTTGGCTCACAGTTTCAGAGGTTTTAGTCCATGGTCACTCGGCCCTGTTGCCTTTGGGGCTGTGGTAAGGCAGAACATCATGGTGGAAGTGCATGGTAGAGGAAACTGCTCACCTCGTGGCAACAGGAAACCAAAAGAAAGGGAATGAGGTCCCAATAGTCCCTTCACCGGCATGCCCCAGTGACCTTACCTTTTTCCATTAGGCTCACTAAAGTGTCTACCATCTTCCATTAGTACCCCAGGTTGGTAACCAAGCTTTCAACTCCTGGGGGACATTTGAGATCTGTGCCATAACAACTGACCACAGAATTATAAACATATACGGAAAAGTGATACCAGACCCAAAGCTATGCCTCCAAAGAACTCCTGTATTCTGGAATATTAGTTGAGAGAATAAGATACAATGAGATCATGTTTTCTTTTTTCCCCCTAGGCTATAGCTATTAGCATGAAAAAATAGAAGAAAAAAAATAGTGGCTCTTTTAAGCTCCAAACAGTGGTTCACTTTGGTCTCTGGAAGCTCACATGAGATTTTTTCACTCTGCAGAGGAAATTCCAGGCCAGTTTTCTTGAATATAAAGTTCTCCTGCTTCACAGTGGTGTTATACAATCTTAGACTCTTCCTCTTATTCCCATATAATGCTTAATCTCCTTGAAAACATACTAACTAGATGAACTTGGTTCTGCTTAAAAATCATCAATAATAATAGGTAACTCATTTTCCCCCAAATAGCCCTTTGCCTATGATAGCAACTCTAGTTAAAAAGTTCTTTCTTATTTGATCTAAATATCTACCATGTAACTTACATGTTGACCCTAGGTCTGAACTCTGAAATTAGAAACCAAGTCTAATTGATCACATCAGCTCTTCAGACTTAAAAACTCTTCTCTTGTTTTCTAAAAACTTTAAATTATGTAGTCCATTCATCATCCTCATCATCTGTGGATTATCCACAAAATCAAAACAGAACTCTGTAAGTGTTCTTGCTACCTAAAGTTACATTAACTATGGGGAGAATCCCATAAGACTAACCCAGGTTGGGATTAATAGCACTTGAAATCCTTGTGTCTTCCTTGCATGTGTTATTGTTCTTAGTATACTGGCATTTAGGGTTGCTCTTTGACCCTAAGTTACTATTGCTATACCTACAAAATATCATCTTTGGTGACTACTCCAGACTTTTGGATCCCAACTCTGCCTACTAGCATATTAAATGTTTTTACAAACCCATTCTCATATATAGATTTGATCACTGTTATCATGTGATTTATTGCTTTAAAAAAAATGTTGACTAGAGTTGGGGTTGGGGCTCAAGTGGTAGAGCGCTCACCTAGCATGCATGAGGCACTAGGTTTGATCCTCAGCAACAAACACATAAAAATAAAATAAAGATATTATGTCCACCTAAAACTAAAAAATAAATATTAAAAAGAAAGGTTGACTAAGGACAAAGGCCTATAGCAAAATAATATAAGTCTCTGGAGAAAGAGGTTGGTCTTTATTGGCTATGAGTCTTTCTACTAAAATTTACCTGGCCCATCCATGTATTTCTAATTCTCTGGTAATCTTTTCCTCCCCCACCTTCTCTTTTTTTCCTCAGTACTAATAATTAATTGGACCCAGGGCCTTGTACATGGCAGGCCAGCACTCACCACTTAGCTATATCCCAAGCTCAGCCCATTTTTTCTTTTTTTTATTTTTTTTCCTTGAGACAGGGTCTTGCTAAATTGCTGAGCAGAGGAGGCTGGACTTCAAACTTGCAATCCTTCTGCTTCAGCCTCCTGAGGAGCTGGGATTATAGGCAGGCACTGCCACACCAGACTCTGCCAATCTATTTAACTGAAGATCTGTTAATCTTTTGAAATAATATCTGCATCACAAAAATTTATGGTTGTTTTAGCATGGCTTGAGAGTTCATTAATAATCTATTCTAGATTTGGTTTAGGATAAATATAAACTCTTTATCTTACAAAGTTTACTTTTTTTCCCTTTTGAAAATCATGTACATCTCCTGATAATCATACTAGATACTTTTTTTACCTACATCATTAGAACTTTCTGTAATTTCAGGATTTCTGAAGAGCTTTCACCTGTTTTAAAGTTTTCTTAGGTCACTGTATTAATTTCCTACAGCTATCATAGCAAAGTACCACAAATTAGGTGACATGTCATTTCACAATTCTGGAGGCTAGAAGTCCAAGATCAAGGTGTCATCAGGTGTTCCTTCTGAGGACAGTGAAGGAGAATCTGTCTCATGCCTGTCTCCTAGCTTCTGGACATTTGCAGGCAATATTTGACATTCCTTGGCTTTTAGAAGCATCACCTAAATCTATGTCTTCATTTTCACAGGGATTTCTCCCTTTGTGTATGTCTCTAAATTTCCCCTTTTTATATGCATACCAGTCATATTGAATTAGGGTCCACCCTACTTCAGTATGACCTCATCTTAATTAATGATATCTGCAGCAGTCCTATTTCCAAATGAGGTCACATTCTGAGGTGCTAGGGATTAGTGCTTTAATATATTTCAATCATAATAGTAATAAATGGCTTTTTTCTTTTTTTAATATTTTTTTTAGTTGTAGTTGAACACAATACATTTATTTTATGTGGTGCTGAGGATCAAACCCAGGGCTCCACATGTGCTAGGCAAACATTCTACCACTGAGCCTCAACCCCAGCCCCATAAATGGCTATTTTCTGACCCATTGTTGTAGTTTAAGATAAAACTTCATACTCTCCATCATTATTTTCTCAGCAAATTTGAGCTTAAAATTTAGTAGTTACTTTCTTCTTAGGTTCCTGGTATCTCTGTTGGTTCAAGATTACAGTTCCCTTATTGCTTCATTTGCTACCTGTACAGGTCGAGTACCTTTTATCCCAAATCCTAAATGCTTAGGACCAGAAGTGCTTCATATTTTGGAGGGTTTTTTAGTTTGTTTTTTGTTGTTGTTTTTGTTATTTGTTTTTTGTTTCATTTTGGAATATTTGAAAGGACTTTACTGTTTGAGCATCCCTAATCCAAAATCAGAAACTTTGTGAGCATGTCAGCCCTCAAAAATTTTCTAATTTTGGAGCATTTTGGATTTCAAATTTTCAAACTAGGGATACTCAATCAGTGTTTTCAGAAAGGCAAGCTAGTAAATTTTCCATTCATCTTTTGGAAGAATTCCACTTCCAGCAGATGTCTAGTTAGTTGAAGCTCTCCCATGCAACACCCTGCTCTTGTATTTAGCCTTTGTTAAATTTTAACAAGAACATGTTATCTGTTCCTGTGTTTGGCTAAGTGGCCTATATACAAATTTTAACTTATTTCTCCTTTTATGTTTTTACCTAAGACTCCTAGATTTTCTATCTGTTTCAACTACAATATCTTCTTTTTTATATTGGCCTCAGGCTCGTGGCTTCCTTCATACAAAAGGATGCCCACTAGTGGTTATATTCTTATCATGAATCCATTCTTTGCTAGTCACAAAGGTACCTAAAAGGCTGTTCTAACTTCTTTGGATTACATCTATTTTATTTGTTTGTGACACATTCTGTGCATGTCTAAGGCTATAGTTATTATTTCTGACACCCTTCCCAAATGTTTTCTGCTGAAAAAATTACCATGAACTTAAGGTATTTCCTTGTCACAAGTTTTTTGCCCCTAACCAAGTACTTATCCTTCTGGCATCTTAAGCTTAATGCAAATCTCATCCTTTCCTCCATCTCTTAAATTTTCACTCCCCAAGCCTCTTAGATCTTCCAGTGTCCCCAGGACTAATCAAAAGAACTACTGCTGTTTCCTGACAACTTCAACATCCTCTGTGATCCCTAGAGCTGCATTTTTCTCTCTTCTGGGTCTGGTTCAAGCAAGGTCTCAAAAGATTCCCTATTACATGAACATCACAGATGATCCAGAGCAAGACCAGTTATAGATGCCTCCATGCCCTATAAGCAGTTCATTTCTTTATACCTACCTACAAGTACAGATATCCAAAGAGCTGAATACCACTTCCCCAGAAATTTCAATTTACCCTGCATGGGAAGAGCCTGCTATCTCATAATTCTCCCTCTTAACCTTTTCCTTTTTTCTCTCCTATTTTCACTGTTTTTTTCATTCTGTTCATTATTATATATTCTTAATTCTTTGTTTTCTTCTTATGATATGTATACTGTGTTCCTTTCCTGCTCTGATGAGTCAGAGATTGACTGCCACCTTTTTTCAATTAGGGTGATCCCTTTGCATTCAGCATGCTTGTTGGTGAGCTCATAAGACAGGGGCTTATATCCCTTTTTTTTAAAGAGCCACTTAAAAATGAAGATGTTAATTACATCACTTTTCATTTAAAGTTAAAAGAGCTTTTGAATTCCCTGGAGAAAGCATATATACAACTTGGAAATTGCATTATTGAGTAGAAAAATACTATGAGAAAATTGGTAATGCCTCTTAAATACCAAAATTTAATAGAGAAGTAGTCATGAAGGTAGCTTTTTGATTTTCCATCTTTTTCATTCTTGTGGCCCTTTAAGTTCCTCTACATGTATTATTTTATCCTTAAAGTAACCTCCAGGATAGGTATTTCAAGAGGCTGAGAGAGATTAGGTGACTTTGCCAAGGTCACACAGAAAACAACTGGTACTAGAATTAGCTCAGTATTATACCATTTCCGTGCAGCATTTACTGAATTTATCTTGTGTCATGCACTTGGCTAGGTGTAAGGTTACATTATCCTACCCCTCCCCCACCTCTAACCTAGACATCTCTTTTCCTTCTCTCCTTTGTATGGTCTAAACAGGGTAGAGAGAAAACACCAGTGCTTAGAGAACACTCCTGCTCTGAACAACAGTGTATTCCCATGAGGGAAAGGAACTGCATTATTTCTTCTTTGAAGCAGTCCCCTCAGCAAGTCCCTACTAGACAGGACCAGGACCACATAACTGCTCAGGTCACAATATGTTAAGAGTTCATTCCACTTACATTCAAATCAAAACTTCAGCCCCACTACTGTAATATTAAGCAATTTAGGAAACATCTTAATTTCCAGCCCTCATCTGTGAAGTGGAGATAATAAATAATAATTAGCTTTAAGGTAGTTACATGAAATAATACATGTAAAACATTTAACATAGTAATTAGCTTATAGTAGTACTCTAGTAAATATTAGCTACTGTTATTGCCATTGCCTAATAATCTGCTGAAAGGGCAAAAAATTCTACTTTTGCTTTTAAATTGCAATGAGCTTCAGCCAGGCCCAGTGGTGCATTCTTATAATCCTACTGGCTCAGGAGGATGAGGCAGGAGGATCACAAGTTCAAAGCCAGCCTCAGCAGTTTAGTGAGACCCTGAGCAGTTTAGTAAGACCTATCTCTAAATAAAATATGAAAAGCGGCTAGGGATGTAAAAACTTCAGTGAGCTTCACTGAAGGCCAATAACTTTGAAACTTTTTATCATAACTCACAAATAAAGAAATACATTTTCTATCTATATGGGTACATATTCATTTTATATCACAATTCAGGTGATATTAAGCCACAATGCAAAACGCATATATACTAAAACAAGTTTCATGGAACAGTGTTTATCTTTACCTCATGCAGTGCATATAGTATTTTCAATTATAATGTTTCACTTTAAAAAGGAAAATACCGATTTGACTTACTACAGTGATTTCACAAGCCACTAAGAGGGAATCCTGCAGTTTGAAAAAAAACATTAGTCTAGACCCTTGATTGGTGTTAAATGCTCAGGTCATCTAGGAATCACTTGGAAAATATAAGTATCCCTTATCACCACCAATGCAGTACTGATTCCTGCAGTTAAATGACTTCCAGATGGGACTCCAGTTCTCAAAATCGTCTACTGGCCCCGTATCAATACAGGCCATTTTATCATTGCCGATTTTATGCTAAGTGAATAAGCACTTGGCAATTTTTAATTAATGACTTTTTAAGAATATGCTTAGTGTTTTCTGTTCAATACTCCTCTTTTCACTTTTTCAGTGCAAATAATTGAGTTGATAACAGTCCACAATATGTTGATTTGCAAAACAAAGTCATCAACTGCTTTGAGTGCCTGTATGTTGGACTCTCAGCATGCATACATGAATAAACATGTTAGGTCCCTGCCTTTGCAAGAACACAATCTTGTAGAATAAAAAAATAAACAGATAATTATAATACAATGTGATCTGAGTTTAAACAGAACTGCTTACAACTCCAGAAAGTCAGGAATGCCTTTCAGAGGAGTTAACCTTGTACCTGAATCTTAAGGGATAATATTAGTTAAAGAAATGGGAGAAATTATAGCAGTCAGAGAGACTAGCATAAAAAAGTATGATGTGCTGAGAGACTAGTATCTTGGAATCAGAAACTGCTCAGACTTGACTTCACTGTAATCATGTAGTGTTCCATATTCCAGTAGGAGCACTTTGGCAGAAAGAATAGAAGTCAGCCAGCATGTAGGAGGCCCTGTGCTTTTTCCATGCAGTCCTAGGCCCTTGTTCTGTCTGTCCTGTAGTCACTTCCTTTGTATCACTAGCTAGCACTTCTACAGTCCTTATCTTTTGACTTCCTTTGGTCACTAAAGCCATGTTCTGCTTTCAAAGGAGTGAGATAGAAATGAAAATCACTTTGAATAATATTTCTTTTATCATATTATTATGTCATATTTTATGCAATTTGCATTTTATAGCTTAATATGCTGCTATTAAAGCTAGTAACACTGAATAAATACAGAATAATTTCCCTTAATTGCCTTGAGCCATTTCTTTGCTCAGTTGATAGTGACTGATCACCATTTTTGTTATTACCAGGTAAAGTTTGTGATCTTAACAAAACTCCATGGGGGAAAAAAACAATATTACTCAAATTACAAAAGTATTATCTCTACTACTGCTGATCATTTTGGTGCCAATAGGGATTTTAAGAGAAGTCATTACTTCAGTCACCACAAGCTGTCTTATTAGTAGTATTAGTCATTGTCACAGGATCATGAATTCTTGCTGCTTATAACTATATTTATTTATGGAAAATAAACATAATTTCTACATGAAAAGAACAGAAGAAAGATAATGTGGCAATGTTTAATGCTTTGCTGCAAAAACATGATCTTAGTTAACCCAAATGGTTGCTAGAGCTTTCCTGGTATGATGACATTTCTCAAAGAATACATCACACAGCATTTGCCAATCAATCTCCTTCAAAACTAGGGCCAATGTATCCCCTACGTTTACATACACATTTCAAATTCCTTAATTTTATTACATAAGCTTGTTTCTGACTGAATGACAATCTTCAAAAGCTTAATCCATTTGGTATAATTTTTTAGTGGCACTCTCTGCTGTGCTGTCCATTTCATTGCGCTTACAGCATTTATAAACAGGTGCTGAAATTTCATTTAACCGGCACTCAATTCATCTTTTTGGTGACTATGCAGCTTTTTGTTAATTAAATCGTCTAATTTAATCGTATTTACATTTTTCCCATTTATTAACTTAATCTTAAAAATTACATAGACTGTTCTTCCCTTACTCAACCTGCTGTCATGCTTGCTGCTGTATACATTTCATTTCTCCTCTGACTTTAATCTTACCAACCAGTGCATGGGTACAGAGATAATTGTTTACTCAGTCAGATTCCAAATCTTCAGCTAAGGGAAGAGTCCATAATCAAGGTACTGTATTATGTGTCCTAATGTGTCACGCTTTCAAGTCATCTTCATATAAAAGTATGTCACAAGTGACTTTTTCACGTTTGTCAAATTATATCCTTTATTCTCATTCACATTCTGAATTTGTGATTCCATTTACATAAAAACATACTTGCCATAATATGAAAGAAAAGCTTATAGATTATATATAAAGATACATTCATATTAAGGACTCCTGACCCCATAAATACTGATAGAAAAGCAGATGTGACATTATCATGATGATTTCTGGTCACCTAGAAATACAGTTTGATTTGTCATTGAGAAAAGATTAAAGGTTCTCAAACAGTCTTTCCAGACCTGGAGAAGAAACCCCACTTTTAGATATGTCCTCCATTGTGACCTTGTCACTGGGATGAACTCAGTGCGTGCTACAGGCATTTATGAGGGGCTCTGTTGTTTTGAAGGTTTGGCAGTTCTTGTCAGAATGGAGGATTAGCCCGTGTGTTTGGATATTCAGTGTTTATAGTTTCTCGTATATAGAGAGAACCTTGATTTTTCTAATTAATATAAGGTCAATTTTTATTATGAAACTCTTCTAGCTATTTAACTTGGCCTTTCTCTTAGAAGACATCTACTTCCTAAGATTCAATGAAATGCATATTATTGAATGTACAACATTATTTTTCATACACTGAAAAACCTACAGTATAATCTATACTTATTTAAAGTTACATTATTTAGACATGATATACAAATGTGAGTTCTAAATCCAGCCTTTAATTTTAGATTTAGTAAGTTTCTAGTTTACATATTAACCTAGATTTCTTGTTAAGTAAACAGACAGTAGAATGTTCCTCCCCTCTTTCATGAGCCCTGAGATATTGAGTTCCTCAGTGTTCTCCCTTCTAGGCTTCATTATTGCCTCCTGTCTGCATTTTGTTTCCAGTGTCAGTGCACTTTTTCTACTTGTGATTTTAATGTTATTTATAAATACTGAATTTATATCAGCATATAAAAATAGGATGTGACTACTTAAGCCCTTCTGAGTCTAAAATAAATGTTATTTTGAATAATGCTAATTGTGCAAAAATAAATGCCAAATGACCATTGTGATTCACGAATAACTCACTATTACCTCTAAAACTGTGGCTCTGAAGCATGCATCTGTTTCTTTACTCAATGGCATTCCCACATTAGATTATCTCATTCAATTCTTTTGACTTTTGTAAAGGTGTATGGGCAAGTCTTCGCTCCAGCACTCGTTTGATCAGCTCTCCAACATCCTTCATTGATGTTGGGGCCCGGCTGGCAGGCAAGGATCATTCAGCCTCCTTCAGTAACAGCACCTACCTACAAAACCAGCTATTGAAACGCCAAGCAGCCCTTTATATATTTGGTGAAAAGTCACAACTAAGGGTAAAATTTTTTTTTCTCACTTAGAAAATTTATGCATATACTAAGGCAGTTTATAAAACCTGTCACAAGCCAACTTTTGGAAAAAATTTTGTAGTATGATTTCTAATCTGTAGTTAATAATCTCAAAAAATAATTATCTCTTTATGTTTTTTTTATATATATATATATATATATATATATACACACACACACACACACACACACATATCTATACATTTGTATGTATATAGATATATATGTACTTATTTATTGGCCATGAAAATAAATATGTATTCATAATATCTAAAAAATCAACCTATATATCAGGAAATATTAGGAAGCATTCATTCAAAAAAGAAATAAGGCTTATTCAGGCTATATTTTCCATTATCTTGAGTCAGTTTCCACAGGAATCAGTGTCTGTGGCAAAACAGATGTTTTATTATTATAAACCTATCAATTCAGAAAACTACAGAAAGGCAGAGAGAATGGGCTGGGGTTGTGGCTCAGAGGTAGAGCGCTTTCCTAGTATGTGTAAGGCCCTGGATTTGATGATCAGAACCACATAAAAAAATATAATAAAATATATTGTGTCCACCTATAACTAAAAAATAAATTTAAAAAAAAAAGCAGAGAGAAGGATAGAAGGAGGAAGACTATTCCATTGCACATGAAGACAAGGGAAGGCCAAGGCTATGTTTTCTAAGTAATTTTTTCAAACTTTTTGAGGTCATATTTATAGAAACACAAATCTTAAGATATGTCAGAAAATTCAAAATATTAGATGCTAATTGGTTTCATTCTTTTTGGAAGGGGTGAGCACTTGGGATTGAACCCAGGGCCTCATGCGTGATAAGAAGCACTCTGCCACTGGCTATATGTCGCAGACCCATATTCTTACTATTTTTCTGCTAAAGAGTTTCACTATGCTGCAATCTCAAAGTAAAGATAGTCTACCTCTAAAAGCAATAGGAATTCTTCAAGTTTAATGTTTCCAAGGGTAAATCATTAGAAAATAAATTTTATCTCTATTGACAAGTGTATAGGAAATGAAAGTATTTGTTTCAGAAATCCCCTCAAAGTTTAGCATTGGACCTACTCAGACTTTTGGCTGAACCATAGAGCAGAGACTGAGCAAGATGCTCTCAACAGGGTCCCACATGCTCAGGTGTAAAGATGCCAGTGACTGCGTCATCTCTTCTGTAGCATGCTGGCATTGCTATCTCTTTTTCCACTACCTGGACTGCTGCAATCACTTAGTCACTGACCTTTAGGGTAGAGGGCATAAAACTGCTGGGTAATGCTCAATTTTTAAATCTGCATAAGTGTTTTCTAACTCAACAGATAATTTTATATCAAAAAAATGGTTGGAATTTTCATCAGCAATCCAAGGTTCCCTACACAGCTTCCTTGGCACCAGTGTCCTTTCCAGAGTACAGGTTTCCACCCTTCAGCACATTTAACATTTTCCAAACTTTGACTTCTGAATGCTCTCCTTCTCTTTTCCCTCTCTACACTAGTTCTCAAATTAGCTGTGTGATCATGCATATTTGAGTAAGAAAGATGGACTCTTGGGAACCTTTCTTTCTTCCTTCCCTCCTTTTACTTGCTTCCTTCCTTTCTGTCATCAATAAAGTACTATAATTTAAAAAAAAAAATCCAGCCAGATTTATTGGCACACTCCTGTAATCCCAGGGATTCAGGAGGCTGAGGCAGGAGGATTGCAAGTTCAAGGCCAGCCTCAGCAAATTAGCAACTGTCTAAGCAACTTTAGCAAGATCCTGTCTCAAAACAAAAAGGGCTAGGGATGTAGCTCAGTGGTAGAGAATTCCTGGGTTCAATCCCCAGTACCAAAAAAATTAATTGGTTAATTAATTTAAAAAATAAAAGTATCAGGGATGTGGCCCAGAGATAGAATGTTCCAGGGTTCAATCCCCAATATGACAAAAATAAAAAATAACCAAATTCCACTATCATGGCACAAGAGTTGCTTAAAAGGGCTGGGATGGAATTCAGTGGTAGAGCCACCCTGGTTTTTGTTTGTTTGTTTTTTCCTTTTTGGTGGGGTCTCAGGAATTGAACTCAGGGGCACTTAACCACTGAATCACATCCCCGACCCAATTTTGTATTTTATTTAGAAACAGCATCTTGCTTTTTCTGAGGCTGCCCTTGAACTTGCAATCCTCCTGCTTCAGCCTCTCAAGCCACTGAGATTACAGGCGTGCACCACTGTACCCGGCAAACTTTTTTTTCTTGATGCATATTAGAAATTCTGTTTCCTGGGCTGAGATTATAAGCTCAGTGGTAGAGCACTTACCTAACACATCTGAGGCACTGGGTTCAATCCTCAACATGACATAAATATAAACAAATAAAATAAAGGTATTGTTTCTGTCTACAGCTAAATATATATATATGAAATAGCATATATATAAATATGCTATTTCCTAATATGATAATGTTTTCCTTTAAAAATTTTAAAGATAATTGAAAGAGCCCATATATGTTGCTAGGTTCTTTATCTTAAGCCTTAACATCATGTTTCCATGTTGTATAATAGTTTTTGTTTCTGTTTTTGTTTTTTGCAATTCTGGAATTGAACCCAGGGGCTTGTGCATGCAGACAAGTGTTCTATCACTAAGCTACATTCATACTTCTTTTTTTCTTTTTTTTTTCTAGTTATAGATGAACAAATACCTTTATTTTTTTTATTTATTTTTATGTGGTGCTGAGGATCAAATCCAGGGCCCTGTACATGCTAGGCAAGTGCTCTACCACTGAGCCACAATCTCAGTCCCTCATAGCTCTTTTTCATAATTATTTCAGTCCCTACTTAACATCCAATATTTTTTGATATATAGGTTTCTTTCTTTATCCTCTGTATTCAAAATTGGTCACATTTTCTAGCATATAGATGTGTTTTGTTATTTTTTTATTGATATATAATTTAGTAGGGTTTTTTCTGTATATTTTGATTTTTCTTTAGAGTTCCTAAAAATAGAGTTATTAAGACAAAGAAGCCGGGTGTGGTGTTGCTTGTCTGTAGTCCTAGCAACTCAGGAGTCTAATTCAGGAGCATCACAAATTCAAGGCCAGCCTGGGCAACTTAGTGAAACCCTATCTCAGAATAAAAAATAAATAAAATGGGCTGGGATGGAGTTCAATGGTAGAGCTTCTCTGGGTTCTTGGTTCAATCCCCAGTACTAGAGCCAGTGGGGGAGACAGACTCTTTTTTTTTTTTTTTTGATGCATTTTAGAAATCCTATTTGCTAATATCATGATAATATTTTCCTTTAAAATTTTGGGGATTTTTGTTTCCTTTCAAAAATTTAATAGGCCTTAAAAAAACTAGTCAATTTAAAACATTGTTCCTTGGCAGTGGGGTTTTATTAATTATAAAATATATATAAAAAATTTACTATCCTAATCATTTTTAAGTGTACAATTTGGCATTAAGTATATTCACATTGTTGTACAACCAGTCTCCAGTAGCAGTTCTACTTCTTTTTAAAAAGAAGTGACCCCTTGGGGCTGGGGATGTGGCTCAAGCGGTAGCGTGCTCTCCTGGCATGCTGTGTGCGGCCCGGGTTCGAGCCTCAGCACCACATACAAACAAAGATGTTGTGTCCGCCGATAACTAAAAAATAAATATTAAAAAAAAGAGAAGTGACCTAATTAGATAATTTGAGCACAATGTAAAGAAAATGGAAAGAATCTGAGAAAATTAATTCATTCTTTGGCATGAGAAGTTAGAGGGTCTGGGGAGGGGGTGAGGGCAAGGTACCAGGAATTGAACCCAGCAGCACTTAACCACTAAGCCACATTCCCAGCCCTTTTTATGTTTTACTTTGAGACAGGGTCTTGCTAAGTTGCTTAGGGTCTCAATAAATTGCCAAAGCTGGCTTTGTAAACTCAGATCCTTCTGCCTCAGCTTTCTAAGTGGCTGAGATTACAGGCATGTATCACTGAACTTGGCAAGTTAGAGAACTTTTAAATTTTCTTTAGAACTCAGCAACTAGACTATCAAAATGAAATATGCCAATGGGTCAGCGTAGCATTCTTTAATTACAAATGCAACGTTCATACTTCACCCAGAATAAATTCCATATGGATTAAAGATAAAAATGAAAAAGGACTCAAACATAGGTGATACCTGTTTCATATTGAGTTATGAAAAAAATAGTATCCCAAAGCTAAAAACCAACGATGTTTTATTGTTTTATTTTCATGTTTTATTGTATATACTTTCTTAGTTGTTACTTTTTTAAAGTAACCATAATGTTAGAAGATTCAGTGCAATGAGATAGTGATTTTTATTTTTCACAAGGTTTATTTCTACTTTTTTCATTTTCATAATGAATACGTTTTACATGCATAATAAATTAATACATGGATGTCTACATAATTTAATCTGTACCGTTAGGGAACCCCACAGTACAATACCTTTCCATCACAGTGTGCATCTTGGGAAATTTATACTGTTGGATTAGCCATGCTGTCCATATGTCATTAGCTCTCCAGGTTCATGACCTCAGAATTGGTTATATTGGTGTTATCAGCTGCATCAAATTCCTAACAGTAGTCTCTTCAAATTTCTAGAGTGACAGCATCCCTAAGCTGAATTAGTCTTCCTCTAGAAAGGACTAGATTTGCCATTCCAGAAGAACCACTAGACCTTTCACTCTGCTGACATATAAGCCACACAAGTTTGACCTTCTTGACCCCTTGCAACCTCTATAACTGTTCAGCCTCAACTAACTTTCATCAGCATTACCCTATTGAAAACTTTGATCTTTTACTTATAGTATTTCATCTGCCTAATTCTCTGTCTCTTTATCCACAGAGCTTCAAGGTAGAATTTGCTTTAAATTGTGAGTTTGTTCCTGTTGAATTTCATGAAATCCGACAAGTGAAAGCCAGTTTTAAAAAGCTAATGAGAGCTTGTATCCCAAGCACCATTCCTACTGACTCAGAAGTAACCTTCCTGAAGGCTCTGGGTGACTCTGAGTGGTTCCCTCAGGTGGGTAGCTTGACTTATAACTCAAAAAGAGGCTGAGTAGATGTGCCAAACCAATATTTGAGGAAAAAAAAATATTTCTTTCCTCACCCCACTCCTTATTCTACCCCTTTGTTGTGAGCTATCTGAAAAGGCCTTTCAATTTCTGGAAATAGTATGAAATAGAAGGTGAGGAATAGAATTCCTTGACCACTGGTTTTTATCTCTGTGTAATTGCAAGTGTGGTATCTGTAAGATGCTAAGGAGGAGAAAATTATTTTATGTGGGAAATTTTTTTTCATTTTTTTTAGAGAGAGAGAATTTTGAATTTTGAATGTTTATTTTTTAGTTTTAGGTGGACACAACATCTTTATTTTTATGTGGTGCTGAGGATCAAACCCAGCGCCCTGCGCATGCCAGGCAAGCACACTACCGCTTGAGCCACATCCCCAGCCCCATGTGGGAAATTTTTATGTAGAATAAATTTAATCATCATATATTTACAGGGCTCTTGCTCTGTTGTCAAGACAGTGAGGATCCAGGACAGGAGGCAATTTCTGAATAACTCCAAGAGCCTTTTCCTCTTGCTTTTTCACCTTCCATTTATCTTTGCCTACTACATGTCTCTAGATTTTAGATTCACCCCCACACCAGCCACATAAGACACATTGGATGCCCTACACTTCAAAGTCATACTTATATATCCATTATTCAGCCAAGTCAAACATTGAATATTTTTAATTGTACCTTTATTGAAAAATTAAGGGGAAATTGATATGACAGCACAATACACCCACATTTCTTCCAAACCACACAAAGAAAGATATTTATGACATGCATATTTTAGACATGGATACAGACATTTGGCAAAAAGCAATATAACCTTCAGTTTTGTCTTTAGGCCCTGATACTATGTCCATTATCCCTTCTCATCCTGAAGGAATTTTCAGGTTTTTTGTTTCCTGCCCCCATTTACCTACAAGGATCTTGCCTCTCTTGAGAAGGAAAAAAAAAAAAAAGTTGTTTTCCATAGTACTTTGGACTATGAAAAGCAAAGAAGCCAAGAAACAATGTTGGTACTAAAGGCAGGTACTTTGAATATAGAGAGACAGTGACATATGCAATTGGTTGTAAATACATATCAAGGTATGTTATGTTCATTTCCCTTAAGGCAATTCAGTATATGTACCCTAGCTACCCAAGGAAGAAGCTGGACCAATGCTTTCTTCCGTCTCTATGAGTCCCAGCCCCAAACCGTCCCTTCCACTCAACTACCTACTCTACTTCTTCCTGGAAAGTAGATCTGTACTAGAAATTAGAGACTAACGACAGTGGAAGATATTGCCCCATTCAGGATAGTGACATTTAAAAAGTTAACTGTTGCAGCAAACACTAGGTTCAAGAGAATTCAGGTTTAGTGCTAACTGTGTTGTAGGAACAGCAAGTAAGGAGCCTCCCACTGCTGGGTAGGACACATGTCTTGCTCCTGTGCTTAAAATCAGCCTCACTGTATAAAATATAGGTTATTTTAGAACAGTTGGATTCATACTGCAAATTAGGTCATATTATACTTAAAATATTTTTTAAAACTACAGTCTTATTCATTTGGTTTTCATATCTATGTGCTGTGCTCATACCCTAATTAATTATTTCTGAAGGACTTAAAACACTGAGTACAAGTTTCTTTCTCATGTATGTATAATTTACTTACTATAAAATTTGGGATTTTTAGGGGCTGAGGTTGTGGCTCATATAGCACACGTGGGGCCCTGGGTTCGATTCTCAGCAACACATAAAAATAAATAAATAGGGCTGGAATTGTGGCTTAGCCATAGAGCACTCGCCTAGCACGGGCGGGACCCGGGTTTGATCCTCAGCACCACATAAAAATAAAGGCATTGTGTTGTGTCCATCTATACCAATAAATAAATAAATGTTTAAAAAATAAATAAATAAATAAAATAAAGGTATTGATTGTGTCCAACTACTTCTAAAAAATAAATGTTAAAAAAAAATTTCCTCTTTTTAAACTGTACAAAGCAGTACTTTTTTAATTCCAAGAGCATCTGAAATAGAACTTACTATATCATGGAAAAACAAATTTTTCAGTTGGGTAACTATTGAGAAGGCCACTTAGAATCTGTCTTTTTGACTTTATGGAATTATGGTTTTTCTACTTTTGGAGAAATTATATAAGGCCATTTTCTTTCTTTCTTTCTTTTTAGTATTTATTTTTTTGGGGAGGTGTTGTTGGACACAATACCTTTATTTTATTTATTTATTTTTATGTGGTGCTGAGTATCGAACCCAGGGCCTCACACGTGCTAGACGAGCGCTCTACCACTGAACTACGACCCTAGCACAAGGCCATTTTCTTATGTATCGTCTGAATTCTCTATTTTAAAATGTGTCTACCTTTAAAATGTGTCAATGTTTAATCTTGATTTAACAAGAACTTTAAGTATTTAAAACATATGAGCCAAGCACAGTGGAACACACCTGTAATCCCAGCAACTTGGGAGGCTGAGGCAGGAGGATCCAAGTTCAAGGCCAGCTTTAGCAATTTAGCAAGGCCCTAAGCAACTTAGTGAGACACTGTCTCAAAATAAAAAATAAAAAAATAAAAAGAGCTGGGAATGGGGCTCAGTGGTTAAGTGCCACTAGGTTCAATCTCTGGTATGAAAAAAAAATTATGTTTTTTTTTGTTTGTTTGTCCAATCCTTCATGCCTAATTTGTATTTTTATCAAGTCTCTCTGTCTTCTCTGCCCAGAAAGGCTTCGTCTAATTGCGGCCTCCTGTCTTATCTCTTAGCTTCACAGAATAATGCAGCTGGCTGTGGTAGTATCAGAAGTACTCGAGAATGGTTCCTCAGTTTTGGTCTGTTTGGAAGAAGGCTGGGACATCACTGCCCAAGTAACTATTACACATATTCTCAGATATTGTGTTTTATATTTGTATTTGAATTTTCAGACAAATATTTTGTATAATGACATATGTTTTTATGTACAGAAAAGTTTCCATTTTAAACACCACCTTGTATCCGTCAGGAAGCTCTGTGCCATGAGCTGTCAACTCTTCCATTACCTGGAGCTCTGGCTTAGGGCATCAGGCTCCTATATTCACAGATGCACCCTGCAAACTTGCTCTTGACCAGCAATATGGGACATGGACCATCCTTCCTGGATTTTGTCCATCCTTTTTCTGGTTCTCCTCAAGCCCCTCCCTTACTCCAGAATGAAAATTATGAATATAAACCACATGAAGATTAACCTGTGCCTGCCCAAAAGGAAAGGTTTTAACTAACCCCCTGACCTCATTAATTAATCTAGAAAATGACCACAATCTGCAAATTGGCAAATTCAGAATTAAAATCTTAATTCCTTGAAAGAAAACATGTAGCCAAAATAAATTTGTGTTTTCTTTTTACTGGAAAGCTTGTGGAATTCATTTGATTTACCATCCTGGAGCAGTTAGTGAATAAATTTGCTCTACAGGTAACTTTGCTTATGAATTAGCTATTTAAAAAGGAAATGCTTTATCTTAGCACTTCAGAACTGAAATTGATGAAATATCCATCTTGTTTGTGCCCTAGGTGACATCCCTTGTGCAGTTACTCAGTGATCCCTTTTATAGGACACTTGAAGGCTTTCGGATGCTGGTTGAAAAAGAGTGGCTCTCTTTTGGTCATAAATTCAGTCAGCGGAGCAGCTTGACCCCCAGCAGTCAGGGTAGTGGTTTTGCTCCAGTCTTTTTACAATTCTTAGACTGTGTACATCAGGTAAGTAGAACCAATTTAAATTGACTTAATATCAAGGAAAGAAAAATACTAGCATTTTTTAGCTTTGTAGTGCTGTGCCAGGTACTTTACTGTCAAAACTCAACCCTAGGATATACTGAAGTCTTGGGTGGTGGAGAGAAGTGGAGTACTAGGAATTGAATCCAGAGGCACTTTACTACTGAGTTACATCTCCAGCCCTTTTTTCATTTTTAGACAGGGTCTCAGTTGCTTAGGATCTCACTAAGTTGCCGAGGCTGAACTCAAACTTGCAATCCTCCTTCCTCAGCCTCCTGAGTTGCTAGTATTACAGGTGTGTGCCACTGTGCCCAGCCTGAAATCTTCTTAAAAATGAAAAAGAAAAAGAAGCAGTTGATTCTGAAAGTAGGTCTGCTGAACTAGCTGTTGAGCTGGCCCCCAAATGAAGTAGTCAGCACTCTTAAATTACATCTCCAAAGAAGGGGGAAAAATCTTGGGATCATTTGGTAGAGTTTTGAATAGAGTAGTTATAGCAAAAATTTCTAGGTAGTGACTTTCCTGAAATCCAGCCTCTATGCCCAGTTTCAAAGGGCCCTACCATGTGCCTGGGAACATCAGAGATAGAGGCTAATCTCTCAAGAAATCATGAAGGCCCAGCCAGGCAGGCTTCTAGAGTTTGAGAATACTGACTCAGTTCTACAGGGCAACCTCATTGGGACTAATCAACAGAACAGAGAAAAACCCAGATACATGTAATCCAGTGAAACTCAGTGAGGGTAGGGAGAGGTAAGCGCTATAGGTGTCCTCCTGTCTTCATCCCAGGCCCGTCAATTACAGACACCTATTTGTGGGGCTTGCTCAGGATTGAGCTCAAGAATTAGATGGCACTGGATTTTCAAACAGAAAGCTAAATTTGCTTAGGAAAAAAACAGAGTTGACATTTCCAGTCTTTTTTCATCTTCATCACAACCCTAGGAGTAGAGTAATAGATTTGGACATGACTTTTTGAAATACATTGGCCTCAAGTATCTGTTAGAAGGAAAGGTAAAAGTGTTCTCACAAACCAGAAATGGAACTAGTCTCTTGACATATGGTTATGTTTTTGTTTGTTTTTATTTTATTAATCATTTGATTTTTAAATTAACAGTTTTATTGAACTTTAATTTATAATTATACAGTTTATCTATTTGAAATGTACAGTTCAGTAGTTTTTAGCATATTTGTAGAATTGTGCCGAAATTACTACAATTTTGGAGTACCCATTAACAGTTGATTTTCCATCTCTGCTCACCCCCCCCATGTGTACACACACACATACACAACACTCTCAGAGAAAGTCATGTTTTTGCTTGCTCAATTTGCTTGTTAAAGAAATAAAAAAAATTAAAGAAAGAAGCAGTATTAGAAAAGTGCCTTTAGCACTTTGAAAATGGGCAGCGTCCAGGGGTATGAAGGAATGGGCAACATTCAGCTTCCAGTTTATTCTTTCCCTAACCCTCTCTGTGATTAATATAACTTCATCTTTGGAAATACATTTTATGAAAATAATAAATATATGGAGGGGCATTGCATTGTTTATATTTAGAAGGAGGGAGGGAAAAAGAAGAAAGAGAGGGAAAGAAAGAAGGATCCATCTAGAAGCCTACCTATCTTTAAGAGACCTTTCAGTAACTGGTGTAATTCTACAGAACATATTATTGTGATTCCATTAAAATGGTATTGACAAGAGTGCAACAATATGGAAAATGCTTATTGTATGACTCAGGAGGAAAATCCAGAATACTAGAACATTATAACCAAACAACTTTGGGAAAAGCAGAAAAGTATAAAGATAAAAGGAACACAAAAATTAATAATCCAATTGCTCAGGGAACTACTATTAATATGAATGTTTTCTTCCAGTCATTTATTGGATCATGTATATACATATATACACAAACATGTATTTTAGTAAAATTTTAAAAAAAAGAGAGGGAGAGAGAGAAAAGACCTGTCAAATAATTTTAATCCATCTTCCCAAGCAGCATCTGAGGACATTGATAACACAGTTGAATTTATACTTCTAAACTCTTTGCAGCTAATGGTATCTTTGTTTTCTGTTTGAATATTATTAGCCTTTTTCATATTCCTTTGGCAAATAGATGAGGGAGAAATTTGGAGACCATTCAGTATTCTTAGAACCTTTCCCTCATCTCCCTCATTTATATTCCTGATGAGTCTTATACAGACTTCTTTGGTAGCATCTATAAGACTAAAAAATAATGTATTTATTTGTATACATGTCTTGTCTTCTACTTAGACTGAGAAGTCTTGTGTACAGGGACTTTGTCATATTAGTTTTCACACCTCTAGTATCTTACACAGCATAATTTCAGTCTCTGGAATATAACAAACAGTAAATAGGTATTATCAGTATATTAATGCAATTTTACAAGTTCTCTTCATATTTTCAACACCCTTGATCAAGACCATCTAGAATATCCTAAGTCAGATTGTTAATGTAATCTTCTGAAAGCTCAGATACTATTATTCCCCAGGGCAAAAATATTCAGGGCAAACAAAAACCTTCAATGGGTTCACATTTCCTAAAGGATCATTCTTCCTCATATCCAGTTTAAATATAATAATGAAGTCAATACCTCATCAAGAGTTCCCTTGAAATTCTTCAGAAGGTTTTTTATTTGAGGCTTAGATTCTGAATAAGTACACACAATCCATTTTTACCCTTGCCTTGAGATCATATCATTGATAAATCAGTTGAACACTAGATGAAACCATCAACTTTCTTTTAGTGTCTTTGCCTTAATAAGCTGTTTATAATTAAAGAGAATATAGGAACAGAAACCGAATGAGGAAACATCAGAGTCACATCTCCCATAAATCTGACTCGGAGGCATAAAGTCATTGAGAAGAATAGCAGGTAGAAGTATCCATGTAGACTTTTTATTTTAATAAGAATCAGACGGGGTGGGGTGGGGCTGGGGTTGTGGCTTAGTGGTAGCAAGCTTGCCTAGCATGTGTGAGACACTGGGTTAGATTCTCAGCACCACATACAAATAAATAAATAAAAAATAAAGGTCCATCAACCACTAAAAAATATTTTTTAAAAAAAGAATTAGACTAAATCCATTTTGGCTTTTGTGTGTGTGTGCGTGCATGTGTGTGTGCATATGTGTGGTGCTGGGGATTGAACTCAGGGCTTGTGCATTCGAGGCAAGCACTCTTACCAACTGAGCTATAACCCCAGCCCCAAAAGCTCAGTTTTTATAAATAAATGTTTCATAAGCAATATTGGATTTCAGTTCCAATTGTACTGAATTAAATATTTTTATAATTAAAATTAATTTTTAAAAAATTTGCCTGAACCCTCCTTTGACTTGGTACCTCATACATACTAACTTGGGTGAAGACAAGTCATGACAAAAGGAGTATGTGATCTTAATTGCAGTATTTTAAGGATGCCTGGCTGCAATAGTTATCAGCTTTGGTTAGGCAAATTATTTTGTGCTGAAGAGGGATTGTTTATTCATTTGAAAACAGAGGAACCTAAGAAGTCTATGCTTAACAAATAGTGCAGACTTAGTTATAAGGTAGTGTTTCATCATTGCTTACATACTGGTCTCAGGCATTAGAAAATGCCTTCTTTGAATACCTTTCAAGTGAACACTAGTGCTTTACATGATTCTGGCTTCTGCCAGATAATTCACGTTAGTGCTGTCCTCAGTCTCTCAGGGACACAAAAAATGGAACCAAGTCCAACAATATTAAAAAATAATAAGTTCAGAATTACACTGCAGCAAGCGAAACTGTCCTTGGGTAGAATGTGTTCCCAGCTTGTTAACCATTTCTAACATGCTGAATGCCAAAAGGCAATCCATGGACATGTGCCTAGACTTGTCCATTAGTACTAATAAAGTTACAAAGAAAACAGATGAAGCACTGATCTTAAATTAGAACTGCCTCATCATATAAAAAGCCATTGTTTATGCCAGTATATCCAGGTGTCAGATGAATTTTAAATGCTAGATCACTATTTCATAATAGCAACATCTGGCAGATTTTTTTGTTGCTTCTAAAAGAAATTGGCTTAGCTCAAAAGATATCATTACAGGATGCTTCCTTTCTTAAAACAGTTTAGCCAAATCTTTCAAAAGGAAAATACATCCAGAATATAAAAAATGAAGTTTTTACCTGAAATTTCTTTTTAAAATACAATATCAAAGGGGAAAATGTGTATAATATGAATGGAAACATGAAGTGGGTAAGCAATAATCTCTTTATTTCAACATTCAAGTATATCTTTGAGAGCATCCTAGAACTTTTGCTGTGTCCTACAAAACAACAGTTTTTGACTTGCCTGCAAAGTTTATTCAGTTTGTAAACTGGCTCCCTCTAGCCTGGCTTGGTGATGTGATTTCTGTATGCCAGCACTGTACAAGGTCCTACTCCAAAGACAAAAGCTATTTGCCTTTTGAGTATGGAAGTCTTCCCTATGAGCTCATGTTTGAGCAGCTAAGCTGCTCCACAGAGATTGTTGCTCTAAAATTTATCCATTTATACTGGCCAAGTAGCTTTAGCCGATGGATGTACAATATATTCAAGTGTTCCTGGCATTTGCCTGATTCCCATTCAACTGAAAACTGGCACTATTTTCACAATCCAAGTTGTTTTATAATAAAGCAACTTTGTGCCCAATTAATGTTAAATCCTTTTTTTTTCAATTATATTCTTTATTTTTTACTTCTTTGAATATCTGACTGAGCTATATTGGGGTATCTAGATTTGTCATCTTATATTTTAAAGAAACAAGAAAGCAAAAGCAAAGTTAAAATTTCTTTCTGAATTTCACATATATTTTTAATAATCAGATACATTTTAAATTAGGTAAACATTTCTGCTACAATTAAAGGCAAAATATAGATTTTGGTATTCAAATGTAATTATGATTGAGTCTAGAGATTGTTAAAATAAATCTTACCAAAAGAATTACAACATTATACCAATTTACACTGTAGGAATTCTGA